GTAATTCACGGCCAATGCGTCCATACGTAAGGCATGTATGGAAAACATAGGGTAAACCTCTTTGGAAGTGATTCATTGAATCAATCAACTTAATGGTTTGGATCAAATGTTTATATTTTGCCGCTATTATACTGTTTGAAGAGTTGGGTAGGAATGGCATAGTAGTGGTGAACCGCTGGATAACAAACAGTATATAATTTTCATTTATTTAACTGTTCGCCGCTTTTCTTTCACATCCATTGGATATATCAATAAAATACTTAATACTTTTATATAAAAATACTTAATAAAAGTGTGAAAAATTACTGTTTAACTGATAATACATTCGTCAAACAATAGATATAATGATTATTCAATCCATGTTTGACAAATGTATTATCAATTTTTTTAAACAGTTTATATAATATATTTATATATATGATTCAAATAAGTATATATATATATAATATATAATTTTGACAATTGCCTCAAATTGGTATATACTGTATATATATATAATGGTGTGATCAATATGTTTTTGCCGCTATTGTACTGATCAAACAGTTGGTATTTGCAAATGGTGTGTACAGTATAGCAATAATGGTGTAACCATTACACCAGACTAGACTACTACTACACTACTAACAACTGTTTGAACAGTACAACCAGCGGTAAAATATATATCCGTGGGGCTGGCGGGGGTTGGGGTATAATTGTCCCGTAACTCCCCTGACAATCGATCGGTTCCAATGGTGTCTCCATACGTCTACAAACATATAGCAACTGGTTTTTCATAACTAAAACTAAAAATTCAATATTTTTGATTAATTATATAATCGCTATCATATTGTCGATAGTGTCCATCAGTTTTTTATATCGGGTTTATAATTCCCGGCCCAAACTATCGACCAATGCGTCCATACGTAAGGCATGTATTGAAAACATACATTCCTTTTCGCATCCATACATACGGCATAAGGCATGTATGGAAAGCATACGGTAAACCCCATTGGAAGCGATTCATTGACTCAATCGGTGGTATACTTAATGGCAAATGTTTTTCCACTATTGTTGAAATAGTTGATAGGTTTGGTATACCATTAGTATATATATATAATATAATAGAATATATATAATAATAATAATAATAATAATAATAATAATAATAATAATAATAATAATAATAATAATAATAATAATAATAATAATAATAATAATAATAATAATAATAATAATAATAATAATAATTTTCATAACTGTCCGGTTTGTCTCTGTTTGGACACTCATTTGTATCCATTTTCCACTTTAATAAAAAAAATTTATCAATCGGTAGTGTTTTTGTTGAAACACTTTTCTGTCAGATATTTATTTTTGTTTTAAAGCAACAAAAATGAAAGTTATTGTAATTTACTTTATATTGTTATACAATATATGTTAGAATAATAGTTAAATTATATATATATATATTTATTAAATTTATATAAAGTATTATTATGTGTTATACAACAAAAACCAATGAAATACTATTTTTTAGTAATTTATATATTGCTATACAATGTATGTTACAAATTGTATACTTATATTATACTGTATTTATATGTTATTTTTCATTTAAATTTTGCAATAATTTTACACAAAAAAAATTATATATTCTGTATGAATAAACAATAATTATTTATTAATAATAGTAATAATAGGATATATTTATTCAGTTTAATAAAAAAATTAAATAAAAATTGTTATTCTATTCATACATTTAGACTTTTATTATTTTTCAAATTAAATGTATTAAAAAATACATTATAATATTATATATAAAACTTGTTAGTTAATATAATATAATTATTATTATTATAGTATAATTATAATTATAATTATAATTATAATTATTATAATATATATTATACAATATATTTGTATATTGTTTATTGAATAAACATAATTTTTAAACTAGAAATTTATTATTATTATTATTATCATTGATGAATAAAAATTGCCTATTTTTTCAAAAAAGTTTTATTTTAGTTTTTATTAATTTATTTTTGTCTGTTATTAATATTTTAATTGTAATTGACATTGAATTTTTTTAATTATTAATTTAGACCAGTTTTAAGTGCCAACCAAAAAAATAGTGTATTGTTTGATGATTGAAATACATTTATTTTATTTTTTTCTACAATTGGTGACAATAGTACTGTTAGCTCAGGGATGCACGATATCTATATAAAAAAATATATTATATTAGTAGCCAAAATAAAAAAAAAATCAATAAAAACTTGTATCTATAAGCTGGTTATATATACTGTATTGTATTTTATTTTATTAAATAATATAATACTATTTCAATTATACTATTAGTTTTTTCCTGTTATAACAATAAACTAGTTATTTTTTATATTCAATAATTTTGTTAACAGATAATATAAAATTTTTATAATACTATTCAAACATTTTTGTTGTTGAAAATAATTATATTGTCAATGAATGTTGAAGTTTTTGGGCTTTATATTACTATTCATTGGCAAAAATTTATTGATAGCTCATTAATATATATATATATATCTTTTTAATGATATTTAAATAATTTAATCTGAATTGTAATAGTATTTTTAGGTTAAAAATTATTTGTATATACAGTACATATATATAATTATAACTTATATATATAATATATTGAATATATAATATAAAGGTTTAGATTTATGTATTATACACTGTTGTGTTGTCTGAAAGTCCAGTGATTTCAGTTTGATTTCAATTTTATTTTTTTTTGTCGATAATCGCCGCTAAGTTTTGTCTAATCCAAATAAATGTTTTACTTTTTTAAAAAAAAAATTTGTTTGTTTTAAAAAAATGTTAAACATTTAGTCAGATTAGGCAAATTAATAGTAATTTAATGACAAAATAAAATTGTTATGGCTATTGTTATCACTGATTTGTTGTTAATTATTATTATATATCGGTTATAATAAGTATTTAATAGACACAACAAATTGTTTACACTCAGTCTATATACCAGTATATAAGGAAAAACATTATATGTGTGTTAATCATACGTTAAACATAACATATATAAAAGTAAACGCTTTGATTCAATACATATATTGGATATATCACTAAAATACTTAATATTTAATATATATTTCATATAAATACTTAATGAAAGTGTGAAAAAACACTGTTTAACTGATAATGCATTCGGCAAACAATAGATATAATTATTATTCAATCCATGTTTGCCAAATGTATTATCAATTTTTTAAACAGTTTATATAATATCATATTTATATATATGATTCAAATAAGTATATATATATAATATATAATTTTGACAATTGCCTCAAATTGGTATATACTGTATATATGCATGTATATATATATAATGGTGTGATCAATATGTTTTTTGCCGCTATTGTACTGATCAAACAGTTGGTATTTGCAAATGGTGTGTACAGTATAGCAATAATGGTATAACCATTACACTAGAGACTAGACTACTACACTAACAACTGTTTGAACAGTACAACCAGCGGTAAAATATATCGTGTGGCTGGCGGGGGTGGGGTTGGGGTATAATTGTCCCGTAACTCCCCTGACAATCGATCGGCTCCAATGGTGTGTCCATACGCCGTTCTCAAACATATCGCACAACTGGTCTTTCAATGTTTTTGATTAATTATATAATCGCTATCATATTGTCGACAGTTTGCCATCAGTTTCTTATATCGGGCTTATAGTAATTCCCGGCGCAACCTATCGGCCAATGCGTCCATACGTAAAGCATGTATTGAAAACATACGGTAAACCTCTGGGAAGCGATTCATTGATTCAATCGGGTGGTTATACTTAATGGTTTGGATCAAATGTTTTTATTTTTTGCCGCTATTGTACTGTTAAAATAGTAGGTATGATTGGTATGAATGATATGCCAGTAGTAATCATTGACAACTGTTTGATCAGTACAACAACAACAACAACCAGAGGTATACCAATAATATATATAATAATAAGAATAATAATAATAATTTTCATAACTGTCCGGTTTGTCTCTGTTTGGACACCCATTTGTATGTATTTTCCACTTATCATAACTTATCAATCGGTAGTAGTTTTTTTTATTGTTGAAACACTTTTATCAGACATTATTGTTAAGCAATAAAAAATAAATGAAATACTTTTTTTTGTAGTAATTTATATATTGCTATACAATGTATATAGTATTACAAATTGTATACTTATATTATACTGTATTTATATGTTATTTTTCATTTAAATTTTGCAATAATTTTATAACAAAAAAATAGATATTCTGTATGAATAAACAATAATTATTTTATTAATAATAGTAATAATAGGATATATTTATTCAGTTTAATAAAAAAAATAAAAATAAAATTGTTATTCAATTTATACATTTAGACTTTTATTATTTTTTATCCCAATTAAATGTATTAAAAAATACATTATAATATTATATATAAAACTTGTTAGTTAATAGAATATATTTATATATTGTTTATTGAATAAACATAATTTTTAAATTAGAAATTTATTTATTATTATCATTGATGAACAAAATTACCTATTAATCTATAATATTCTATTAATTTTTAATATTTAAATTCAATTTACAAAAAACATTTTAATATTCTGTATGAATAAAAAAATAATTATTTTAATATAATACACTTTATTTAATAAACATTTGAATAGATGACAGTTGTCTCTAATAGTGGACAACATTTCATATAAATAAATATATTTTTATGGAAAAGTTTTTTAAGTAAAAATATATAACTATTTTTTTTTATTTAGATTTCCACATGTCTTACAAATATTAATTTAAAACCAAAGAGAAAAAAAAGTTAATTATATTTATTTTCAATTAATTAAACTAAATAATAGTATAATTTAATATTGAAAGTATTTAATCTAAACTAATTTACTATATAATAATAAAAAATTTTGTTTATAATTTATATAATATACAGTAAATATTATTTATTTATAGTATAGTTTAGTTATTGCTTACTATTATAAGCTATTACTCGTAAAGTGTGATAATAGTAACGCAATTCAGTAATAGTATTGTCGGCCAAAAATTGTTTCCACGCGTTAGGGTTGGCCACCGATGCCGTCCCCTCCATAGCGTCCGACGGAGGGCTAAAGTGGGCGTCAAATACAGTGTCCCACAAATGTTCGGCCTTTTCTTCATTAAACTGTTTTCGATCCTTGAAATTGATTGAAAAATCTCCAACAATTACTGGCATAAAATCTATGATAATTTTTTATAATAATTATAATTAAAACAAAAATCAATTTTTGTTATAATGTATTATAATTATAACAAACACTAGAAACTAACCGATAATCTGTTTGCGAGTCATTAAATAATTTTTAGCAAATAAATTGAATTGTTTTATAACAAATCCGTTAACTATTAAACTCTGTTTCCAATTATTCATCTGTTTGTCAATCGATGGATACCACAGTTGTTGTTGAAGTTGTTTATCAACTCTACTATTGTTATTATCGACAAGTTTTCTGTTCAAATCAGCTGTAATAACAATATTTGCATAAAACAGTCCACCGCTGGTCAACAACTTTGACAATATATCCATTACCTGACACTTATCGGGTATAAAGTGTAACATAAAACTAGAGAACAGTAGATCCACTTTGGACTCCAATTGTCTGATCCGTGGACTCAACTCAAGCCACGAAACAGTCATGTCTTGCAATACATACTCAATGGTAGTGTCGTCTGCATTGTTAGCCTTAGCGTGTGTTAACATTTCTGGTACGACATCGATGGCCACCACTTGTTTGTGTTGTACGTGTTTGGACAGCATTCGGGTAACTCTGCCGTCACCGAAGCCCAGGTCAACAATCAGATTGTATGAACTAATATAAAATAAATTATTATTTTTTATTTTCTCTCTCTCTCTTTATATTTAAAAACAAATTTAATACTTATTTTCATTATTAATCAATTCAAACGCCTCTAATAGATAATCATCCACTTTATAGGTCAATGTAACGTAATCTTCGGGTTTTATTTGATTCATTGTTTTTTCGTTGTTGTTGTTGTTGTAAAATCTAAATATTTAAGAATAAAATTAAAATTTCAAATTTATAATGAAAAATAATTTATAATAAAAATCACTTTAAATAATTTTAATAAAAAGAAAATTTTTTATTATAGATGAAGCTTTTATACATTTCATAATTTTTTTAATTAGTAATAAAAATATTTAATTATTATACAGTTTTCATATTTCGAAATTGATTTAATTAGTAACTAAACTATTAATTCATATAATGTGCATGTTCATATTTATTATTTATTATTAACTAATAAATATTTTAAAAAAAACTTGTCATGGTTGTCTATTAGAGGAGAGGCATTTGATTGAATAACTAATGAAAATAAGTATTAAAATATTAATATTTTTTAAATATAATGATAAAGAGAGAGAGAGAGAGAGAGAGAGAGAGAGAGAGTGAGAGAGAGAGACGTAATTTTACTTAGCTTTTGAAAACAACAATTAGCTAAATCATTTAATGTTATTATTTTTCTAAATAATTTATATTAAAAACAATATTAATGATATTACAGTATATTTTTGTTTGTAAAATCATTATTAACAGTTAAGCATAATTATAAGCTTTGAAGTGTGTTTAAGTAAAGCAACAATAAAAAAATAGTTAATTAATTTTTTTAAAACTTGACAAAATTTGTAAATTATTTAAAATATTAATTTGAATTATATCATAATCTAGATACTATATATATATATATATATATATATTTCGGTATCAATTTATATACATTTATTATTTCGGAATTAATTTAATTAATAATTAAACTATTAATTCATATAATGTGCATGTTCATATTTTTATTTATTAATAACTAATAAATATAAAAAAAAACTTATAATAGCTATTAAAGGAGAGGCATGTGATTGAATAACTAATGAAAATAAGTATTAAAATATTTATTTTTTAAAATATAATAAATTATTAAAGATAAATAGAGATATATATATATATATATATATATACATATATACATAAATATATAGATATGTATATACGTACTTAGTTCTTGGAAACAACAAATAGCTAAATCATTAATTATTTCTAAATAATATTACATTAAAAATAATATTAATGAGATTTTTTTTTGTTGTAAAATCATTATTAACAGTTAAGCATAATTATAAGTCTCAAAAAAAGTATTTAAGGAAAAAACAACAACAACAAAATAAAATAGTTAATTAATTTTTTTTAAAACTAGACAAAATTTGTGAGTTATTTAAAAAAAAATTAATTTGAATTATATCATAATCTTGATATTTTTTATATATATATATATATACTGTATATATACAGATAATGCCAATTAAAAGTTAAAGTTTTAGTAATATCGTGTAATGTTAATTTTAAGATAAGTAAGGTAACTTATAATACAGTATTATTTTTTTTAATATTATATAAGTTGCTGGAACATTACAAAATATTATTAAAATTTAAACTTTTAACTAGCATTAACTTTATATATATATATATGCAGAGTAATTATTAATAAGTTTTAATCATATTTATTTTTTAAAAACAGGTAATTAACTAATTTTAACCTAAAATAATAAATAAACCATGAATATAATCGAGCCTGAAAGTTATTTAACAATTTCTTATACATGGGATGCTATTAATATTGAAACATTAAAATCGATTAGTAATGAAAAAAGGTATTTATATTTATTTATATAGATATATAGATATACAGTATATAAATTATATATATATACATGTGTGTGTGTGTGTGTGTTGGGCATGTGTGATAAATGGGTGGGTAAGTGAGTGAGTTAGTGGGTGAGATAAAGTAAACATATATATATATATATATATATATACAAATTAATTTTAAACATTTTCAAAACAGTTCATACGATCTGATTGTTGACCTGGGCTTCGGTGACGGCAGAGTTACCCGATTGTTGTCCAAACAAGTTCAACACAAACAACTGGTGGCCATCGATGTCGCACCGAAAATGCTGACACACGCTGTGGCCAACAGTAGAGAATCCCACTATTGTGTATGTCTTACAAGATATGAATGCTTCGTGGCTTGAGTTGAGTCCACAGATCAGACAATTGGAGACGAAAGTGGATCTACTGTTCAGTAATTTTATGCTACAGTATATAAAAGATAAGAAACAACTGATGGCTATAATTGGACGGTTGTTGACCAGCGGTGGACTATTTTTTGCTAATATTGTTATTCATGAAGATATTAGTAAAACCCTAATCAATAATAATAGTGGGGATAAAATACAATGGTATCCATCGTTTGATAAACAATTAGATGAATGGAAACAAGTTTTAGTTGGAAATGGATTTCAAATCAAAGATTTCAAACTAACGGCCGAAAATATTTTAATTAATCGCAAACAGGTTATCGGTTAGTATTTTTAAATAAAATAAATATTATTATTAACTTATTATATATTTAAATTATATATTAAAAAATAAACTTTCTAAATTAATTTTAATTAATTAATTAATAATAACAAATATTTTATATATATTTATATATACATATATATTGTTTTTTATTTTAAAAAATAAATCCAAAAATGTCTCAGAATTTATGCCCGAATTGGTTAACAGTTTTCGTCCGTATTATACGGATCCGAACCAGTCGTTTGACGTCCACTACAATAGCGACCAGTTCTGGGATTTAGTGTTCGACACGTGCTTTAGTCTACCGGACGCGCTGTCGGCGTCGGCGACGGCGGCGCCCGACAAACACCAACCGAACTCCGACGGGTCGTGGAAACAGTTTTTAGCCGACAATACTATCAGTGAATTGCGTTACTATTTCCATAATTTACGTATTAAAGCATATAATAAATAAATATAATCTGATAATAACTAATAGTAAATATTGTTGTATTAGTTATTTGATTGTATTAGCAAAAGTCTATATATTTATATTGCATTTATTTTATTTTTGTTTATGAAAAAAATATAATTTAGTCACATTTATAACTAATAATACTGTATTAACAATAATTTACGATTAATAATAAATATATATTATTTTTTAAGTTAATTAAAGTTAAATAAATGCATTGATAACAAATTTATATCTAAATGATTCATTAGGATAAAATAAACTCAAAATTCAGCCATGTAGGGTATCAAAATAATTTAGTATGTTAAAATAAACTCAAAATTCAGCCATGTAGGGTATCAAAATAATTTAGTATGATAAAATAAACTCAAAATTAGACATATAAAGTATCAAATGATTTACATAAAATGTTTATCATTTATCAATAAAATTATATATTTATTTCAAATAATTTATTTTATTTTATTTTCTGTATTTATTATTAATATTATAGTATATGACATTGAATATTGAATATAAAACAGTTTTAAAAGCTAACAACAAAAAAGTTTGACTCATGCAATAAAATATTATTATTTTTTTACTTATCATTAATTTACGTAAATATTAATAATAATTGTTAACTTGAAAATCAAATAAAAATCTATAGTTTTATATAAATAATAAAAAAAAGATTTTTATTCAATTTGATATCATTTTTTTTAATAATAAGTGATAAATTATTTTTTTTGCTTAGTTTGACTCATGCAATAAAATATCATATAATATACATATTTTTTTGCTTATCATTAATTTACGTAAATATTAATAATAATTGTTAACTTGAAAATCAAATAAAAATCAATAGTTTTATATAAATATAAAGAAAATACTTATTCAATTTGATATCAATTTTTTTTTAAATTATTTATTTTAAAAATAATATTTTAAATAATGTTAATATTGATTTTATTGATATTTTTTAGTATACCTATTATATCTTTGATTTACCGGTAAGATAATAATAATTATTATTATTTAAAAATTTATTATTTTTCTCATCTATTTTTAAAGAAATCTCTATTTAATAAATAGATTCTATAAATAAATAAATATTTTGTTGTTTAACTGAAAAAAATAAAAATATCTTATTTTTTTGAAAAAGTTAAATACATATATAAAAAAAATAATAAAATACTTATTTATTTTATTGCTTTTATTTAAGTTATTTAAGACAACATTTTAGCTATTGGTCGGACAGAGGCCTAAGCGGACCGAAACCCTGGATATGGTTTGGAAATACATTTGAAGAACTGTTTCGTCCGATTTCGGTCATCGATAGAGAAAGGCGTCAAAAATATGGACCGACCTATGGGTGAGAAGTCTATTGAAATAATTCACAAATATCTGTTCAACCGATTAAATGATTAAATAAATAACAGAATTTATATTCTATAGTATTTATATTTTTAACAAATTATTATTTTTTTTGTTATTTTCAATTAAAAACTTCAACAACAAAAAAATAAACAAATAAATACTTTATACGTTAAAAGTATTTACGAAAACAATAAGCCAGTTATGATGACATCGGATCCGAAACTAATCAAAAATATTTATATCAAACACTATAAGAATTTTTCGGATCCGAAATCAATTTTGATGACACCAGACAATCATGTAATCTATAGGCATATCATCAACAATAGTCGGGGCGAGACCTGGAGGCGTCAATCGGCGGTTATTAGATCGTTGTTTGCCGACAGTCGGCTGAAATTGTTTGCTAAAAAAATTACTGAGAATTTAATCAATTTGACTGATAGTTTGGATAAAATGATAGATAATAATAATAATGATAAGGCAATAGATATTAGTCAAGTGTTTATCAATCATAGTATAGATCTGATGGCTAATTGTATGTTTTCATTGAAACAAAATACAATTAATAGTGTAGACAATAAATTTAGCCAGATCATTAAGCAATCAACTATGCCATCTAAATGGCGTATATTAGCCAGTTTAGTTTTACCAAAATTTTTAGTCAACGTACTCGATATGAGTACAATTATATCTAGAAAATACCTGGACCAGTTTGTTAGACTAACAGTACAGGAGTTAAGTAAACGTATTAGTTTGCCTATAAATACTGGTAATGATGACGATAACGACTTTTGTCAATTGCTTATGAATCGGTGCCCGGATTTTATTAGCAATAAAACATTGGATAATAATACTAATAATAATAATAATAATAATAATAAAACATCAGAATCTCAAATATCAGGTAATAAATCAGGTAATCAGTAATAACCAGGATTTTAAAAGTTGCAGGCATAAAAAATAGATGCCAAAAATTGCCAAATGCCTGCCCTGCCTCTGCCATGCCCTGGGCATCTATTTTCAGGTGGTGACACCTATTACTATGATTTTATATTATTTATTTATTTATAAAACATTGTTTTATCTATATATAACCTTTAATTAAAAGGTAATATCATTGGAAATAAGTATATTAATTGTAAATTTAATTAACACGCTAAAAAATGTAAATTACATTATTTTTATGAATTGCTTTTTAGCAATTTAATGTGACAGGCAAATAAAATAGATGCCCAAAATGACAGACATTTATGGCATCTATTTGGGCATTGCCAGGGCAGGCATTTATTTACTTAAAACCCTGATAATAACACGAAACAAATATGATTTTATTTATTTTTAAAAAATCATTTTATATGTTTAAAAATATTTATTATTTTATTTTTTTAAAATTTATATATATATATATTTAGATTTGTCGCAAACATTAACCAATGATGAATTAATAGCCAATATATACACACTTTTCGATTCTGCTTATGGTATCGATTATATACTTAAGATACTAATTATCTACGAGTTGGCCATAAATACGGAGTGTCAGCAAAAATGTTACGACGAAATCATTGCTAACTGTTTTCCGGATAACAACAAACCAATGACCGGACAAAACAACATAAAGTTTGACTATAAAACAGTGGACAAACTGAACTATTTGGATGCCTGTATATCGGAAATAATGAGATTATACGCACAGATATATAGAGAGGGACGGATAGCCAGACACGACTATACGGATGAAACAACTGGTATATATATAGTGTATAAATAAACATGTGTTAAGTATATGTTTATTATTATTATTATTGTTGGATTAGGTGTGACAATCAAGAAAGGACAGGTAATACAGTTTTCACGGTCAGCAGTGCATAGAAATTCCGATTACTATCCAATGCCCGACCAGTTCCGGCCCGAGAGGTTTGTTGGCAAACAAAACAAACACCAATTGATCGAATCAGCCGTTTATCTGCCATTTGGTTTGGGCCGTCGTATGTGTCCCGGCTATAAGTTTACCCTGATGACCATCAAATTGACCATGGCACAATTGTTGGTTAACTATAGATTTTTGCCAATACCAGGTCTAACTAAACTTAGATCAGCCGATCCTATTGTTGAACACTATAGCTATTATCCGGGACAGTTGTATTTGAAAATTGAAAAACGTTAAAAATCAATACTAGATAAATTAAATTAATATTATATATATATGGTGTTATTTATAAACAAATTTAATTTTAATAGATTGGAACAAGATAAACTTAGAATTAAAATATGAAATTTATAAAAATATATATTTAATTATAGTATTACTTTATAAACGGTATTATTAACAATAGAAAACAAATAATTACAATGTATTTCAATAATTACTGAATCTATTTTTAGTTTGAGATGTAATTTAATTTACATACAATTAAGTAAATATTTAGAGAAAAACAAATAATTTTTCAATTAATTAATTACTATTGTTTTAAATGCATTATTAAAAATATAATTATTGTATATATTCAATAATATATAGTTAATTATAATTTAAATATGAATTTACTTATTTAAATCATTTTACTGTACAAATTATTTTATAATATATATTGTATATGAATTTATGCACCAAATATAATATTGATAATAATAATAATAATATAATAATCAAGCATAACATTAATAATAATTTATGAGAAATGTTAATAATAAAAATTTTTTTAGTCATATATATATATACACACAGAAGATAATACTAATTTTTTTATTAATAATTTATATTTTAGAAAATAATTTATACATTAAAATTTATTACCAAATTAAAGTATTTCTGAATATATAGGTCTATAACTTAATTTAGTAGTAGTAATTTACTTAATGTATCAAATAGTTTATAAATTATTATATAAATAGTAAACAACTACTGTATTTATATATATACAGTATATAAGTAATTATAATTATACCCATAGTCTTGTAAATTAACATTTTTTATGTTTTTGAAAATTTTATATAAATTAAAATTAACTTATTATTTATTTATTTATTTTAACTAATGTATTTTATAACTAAATAATTAATAATATATTCTCAATAAATAAATAGTAAACATTTATTCTGACAATTAAATATTTTTTTTATATAAACAATAATATCAATTTTAATTTAATTTTAATATAAAGTTTATCATAATTACATAATACGAACTAATGTTAAAAATATCAAATACTAGTATATTATAAAACATGTAAACAGATATATTAATATTATTGTAATAATATATATATTGATAAAAATGTAATTTAATTGCAATCAATATTTTAGGATATTTTATGAATATATTTGTTTGTATTAATTTTTATTAATTTATATTAAAAGTATTATACTGTAAATTATTTATCTGAATTTATATTCACATTTTTCATTAATAATTGCTAGTTTTCTAATACTGTAATATTACTGTAATATATATATATATATATATATATCATAATTATACAGTATGTTATTTATTGTGTAATATTTTTGGTTGAATTTGCTTTAATAAATTTCGTCTATAATTACTATTACAGGTATACTATTATTTTCACGAACTGCTGAAAGGAGTACGTATCTGAATTCTGTATGTCTGTCGGTCTGTTTGTAGCAAAATATAACTTTCGCATTTTGCAATTTTAATTTCAGATTTTGATAAATTAGCATCAAAAATTAGCTATAGAAATCGGTATTGCAATTTTGATATTTTTTTTTGGGAACATAGAGAAAATTGTGGCCAAAAAAAAAGTTTAGATGAAAATTTTTGAGTATAGGTTTGAATAAAGCATCAAAAAACAGGCATAAGAATCAGCATTAAAAATTTTAATAATATAGAAAAAATGGCGGCCAAAGTAAATTGGTAAAAATTTCAATTTTTAGAATAGTATAGAGCATCAACAAAAAAAAAGAAAATGGCGGAAATTTTTTGATTATAGTTGTTTATTTTGTGTATACTGAATCATTTGATACCTCACATAAATATACAGTTGAGTTTATTTTGTTATGAATCATAAAATTCGAATTTAATTTTTAATTCGTATTAGGATTTCGTATGGAAATGCTTTCTAGCATTCTCAACTGGTTATTTAATTTATACAATAATAAACTTATTTGTTTAATAGATTTATTGAAAATATCTTATATTATGCATAAAAATTATTAATAATATTGATTATATAATTAACTATATTTTTATATGTATTATTTATAAATATTGTTTTTTTCAATTGCAGAAAAATATTGCAAAACAAAAATTATACACAAATCAAAACTAATTACTATATTAGTTAGTTTTATTTGTGAATACACTTATTAATTAATAATTATTAGATATTGATTATATAATTAACTATTTTTATATGTATTATAAGTATCTTTTTTTTACTTATGAAAATAAATTATTGTTAAAACAAAAATAATAATTAATAGAAAAATTTTACTTACATTTAAAAATAATAATTACAAAATCAAATTATTTTTATTCTATAAATATATTATTTTGTTTATATTATTATAAATCAATCAATTATATGTTAATATATAATATATATTATTGTTAATTATTAAACTATAATTTATTATTCATAGTTAAACAAAATTATATTATTTATATTTGAGTTTTATTATTGAAATTTATAGTTGAGTATTAAATATAATTATTATATTTTTTAAAAATTAATATTAACAATATTAATAATAATCCTAATAATTATATAATATGGATAAAATTGTTAATAAAATTGAAGATAATTTAGTTAAATACTATATATTAATATATAGTTTTGATTATACTCTCAATAATATTATTAATAATAATACTATACCTAAGCGTCACTTATTAGGTATAATTTGTGTCGATTTAATATTATCTGTATTTTGTTTGCGATTTCTAGTGTCGGGTTTGTTAGACAAACAATGGATACGTGAACTGGTATGCGATCCGTTAAACATACTGTTCAAAAATACACGTTTGGCATCGTTTATGATAACAGACTTTTCATTTTTTTTACCACAATTTTAATACTATTAATACAAATCCTAACTTTTCATAGAAAACAATTGATACCAATTTACAAACTAATAGTTGGCTTATTAACAGGTCGATTATCATATGGACTAATATTGGTTATACATATATGATCTATTTATCCTATATTGATAAACTATATGATAGTACTAATAATAGATTAGTAATAATTCAAACAATAATTATAGTAGCAATTGGTTTATTATCAACTATAATATATACCCAGTTATCCTATACGCTATTGTTTTCATCAGTTGGTTGCGGTTTACTAATCAATAATTATATTAAATATGTATTCAATGAAATCAATCGTTTGCTAACTATTGGCGTCTATTTTTGATTACTATCCAGATATTCATAAACAATTGATCAAACATTCTATGCTAACACAAGTGATTAAAAATGTTAACAAATTTTACAAATATATAATGTTTGCCATCTATTATGTATCGATAGTCGGTTTTGAACTAATGTTGTTTCTAATCAACGATCGACAAACAAAATTGTTTGGTTCAATAATATTAATATTTATTTTGTTGTTTTCATTGTTTTAATTAACTAATCTTTTGTGCGCACGTATTACACGTTTAGCACATCGACCCCGACGTCTACTCCAGTCCTATATATATGTCGTTCCCATCGACTATCGTATCGCCAGAAATGGAAAATCCAGTCAACGATTGAACGTTTGAATGGATCGGTCATTGGTTTCTATTGTTTGGATTTATTTCCAATGAATAACTGGGAGTTTGCTATAATGTGCGTAAATTTTAGTGCAAATCATTTATTATTATTAAATTATTTTCAAAAATAATCAATTGATTTATAGTATTCATATGTTATTTAAAAAAACAATTTAAAATTTAATAATAATATTTTATATATATATACTCATCATTTCATATTGTGAAAATTATTTTTTTTAATTTCATTAAAACTATTTATTAATAGCAAAAATATTTTATTTAATATAATTATTAAATCTGAAAAATAAAAGTTGTAAATAAAATTTAAAAAAAAAAAATTAAGTTCAACAGAATCCGATTAATTAATTAATTTTTTTAGTTATCTGGCAATTAATACATAATAATAATTAACAGTATTATTATTATTATTATTACATAATTAATAAACTATTATTGTTTAAATAAACATTATGTAAATATTAATGTTATTATTGTAATTGAAATATTTTGTTTACATGTTATAAGTTTTTCATATAAAATTAATTTTGTTTTATCTATTTGTATTTATATACACATAAATAATAACAAAAAATAAATATTTATTATGAAAAATTTAAATTACTTGAAATATCTACAATATTATTATATCATTAATTAAATTAATATTAATAATTATTTTTAAAAAAAGAAAAAACTATAATTTCAATGAATATTTTATTTAATTTTATTTTTAACATTATTATACAAAAATAGAAGTTTATTCATTTAAATTATTATATAAAAATACACCGAAAAAAATATATAACACATTTGATTGTATAGTATATTATTATTTTTTGTATAAAAAAATATTTTTTTTAAATTGTTATATAAATAATATTTTCAAATAGTTTTTTATTAAATTAAAGGCACATTAATTGCAATTAAGTATTTTTTTTTGTTTTTTAAGTCACAATTGAGATCGAAATATAGTATATATATCAACAGATAAAAATAATATATATATATATATATACTATATATATATGTTTATAAAAAATATAGTTTTTTATTAAATTAAATAATAATAACAATTAGTTTCTAAAGATTTATATAAAAAAAATAATGTATATGTAATTCAATGAACACTTGAATGCTCTTAAAAATTGAAATTTTATGAGATTTTTAAGTAAAGTTTTATTTTTAGTTTTGTTTTTTTTAAGTATAACAAACTTAAAATTTGTCATTTAATGAGCAAATAATGCCTATAATCTATGTCTATATTTATTTATTTATATATTTTATATATATATGTAAATTTATGGTATATTATTAAAAATTAGATGTTTATTATTATATAAATAAATCTAAAAAAAATCTGTATTTCACTTATTAAATATTATTAATATTATTATTATTATTAATAGTTGTTTTTAATAATTTGTGTTAAACAAATTATTAAAAACAATTAAATATATATATATTTATATCAATCAAATATGAAAATATGCGGATGAATGTGATATAATGATATACATGTAATAATTATGATAACAATCAATGGAAAATCAATCAATTAATTAATTAATTAATATATAAATATTTACAACAAATAATATAAATGATTGAATGAATGGATGAATTAATTAATGAATTAATGTATGTATGAATTGGAGGAATGGATTCATGGAATGAATGGATGGATGGATGAGATAATTATTATTATTATTTTTTATAGAAAAAAAGACATCCAATTGATTCAGTCATTATAAATTCATGTCTAAATTAAAGTCTAAATTTAAACAAACAAATAAAAAGTTTGTTATTTTCAACTAAAAAAAATAGTTTTCTAGTTTTGTTTGATGTCTAATCAATTATATATATATATATATAATAGTATTAATAGAAAATAATTAATAATAATAATAATAATAATAATGACTGGAGTTTGGCCTAAAATTTGTTGATTTTTTATATATATATAAAAATATTCAATCTCTATGTATGTCTCTCTCTCTCTCTCTCTCTCTCTCTCTCTCTCTCTCTCTCTCTTTCTATCTATTTATGAATGCTTTGGCATTTTGAGCAATAATTATAATAATTATAATAATAAATGTAATAATTAATTAATTAATTAAAATAATAATAATAATAATTTACACACACACACACATACATATACAATTAAAAAATAATAATAATAATTATAATAATAAAAAACTAATCAAATCAACAATTAATTAATTTTTTTTCTAAACAATTATCTCTCTAATGACTCGTCCGTTTCGATTTGTTTGGTACTCCATGTCCTCGACATCGTAGGACATGTGCTGTTGTTGTTGTTGTTGTTGTAGTTGTTGTGTCATATTTGGCGGCATTGGATCTATGGGTGGCATCATTTGATTGGGATCGCCGTTCATCATCTGATGGTTGTTCACTACTGACATCATGGCATCGTTGGCCGACATCATATCCATACCCATATGAGCTGCCGTACCGTACGGATTGGCACCCATTTCCTCATAGTATGCCATTTCTGAAGATGGAGATCAAGAAGATGTCAGCGTTTGTGTCGACAAAAAAAACAAAAGCAAACAAACAAAAGACTTACGCATATTATTCTTGCGATTCATTTCGTCGTTCAGCTGCTGATAGCCTTCGTGCGGATAATAGCCATAACCGCCGATATAGCCATTGGGATCCATTTGCATGTGCGGTGGCGGCGCTCCGTATGTCTGATGATAGGGCATACCGTTTATCGGATCAATTGGACCGCCATTGGGACTGTCGTTCATCATATCGTCTTTGATCATATTCCACAGTTCTATCTGACCGGTTCCAGTGCTGGCACCGGGACTCGGATCGTTGCTTTCGCCGGTCAGGTAGTAGTTTTGCGGTATATGGCCGCCCATCGAGTCGACAGTTGGCGAATACATTGGCGGCGACAACTTGTTTGTGTCTACGTCCGACATAAGACCTGATAACAACAACATCAACAAAAAAGTCACATTAGATCCCAATCTATTAGATTTCCCGACAATAATAATAATACCTTTGTTATCGTGTGTGGCGTAAAACGGTTGGCTAATAGTGGTCACCTTTGGACGACCAGATGTCGAATCGGATTCGTAGTCTTTTTTATCAGATTTGTCACTGCGTCGCCAACAACAGCACAATATGATGGCCACAACGGCCAGTGCGCTAACACTGGCAACTACTATGACGGTCATCAAGTAGTCGGCAGTAATGCTTTTGGCCTCACGGGCATAGATGCTGTCCATTTTGACCAGATGTTCGTAACCACACCACGAATCGTTACTCTGAAGACAAAGTATTACACGAATATCGCTAATCTCTTCGGACGTTGCCTTCAAGTAAACAGTTTCTTGACTGGAAATTATGGGAACAGTTGTCAATTGTTTCCATTCGCCGTTATTTTCGCTACGAATTTCGATTTTGGCCACCAGTTTAAGGGCAACATCCGGTGCCTCGACATTGAATACCAGTGTATTCTTCTCGCGATCGTAAAGTGAATCGAAAGCATTGGGCATATCTTTTAGATTGACTTTAGTGGTCACTCGGATCTCCTCCGAATAGGGACTATAGCCGCGCGGATTGACGGCCAACACACGAAACTGGTACTCGTGTCGCGACTCTAGTCCAGTAATTTTGCACGGATTTAGACTACGGCACGACTCGTTACGCCAACGATCGCCATCATTATAGGTGACCACATATTCTGTATTACCGAAGCCACCATTGAAACCTTCAGCCCATCTCAGGATCACCGAATCGGACAACACTTCGACCATTTCCAATTGCATTGGCATTTCGGGTGCCGATTTTTTGGCCAATTTGATAATAGTTTTTTCATCATCGTCGGCCACCGAATTGAACGCCCGACACGTATAGTCGCCGTAATCCGATTCCCGGGTGCTGCGTATGGACAGTGTACCCACATGAATGTCGTCGCCCAGTTCGGTAACATTGGTCTGATAGCGGTCACTAAAGCTGTCCAATGTTTTGCCTTTGAAATACCATTCAAATTTCGGTGCCGGATAGGCCGACATTTTGCACTGGAGTACAGCTGTTTCGCCGAAATCAAAGGCCACCCGATTGTACGAATGGCGTACGACTGGCGAATGTTCAATACGCAGGACAGTAGTCGATTTGGCCGACTGGCCAATACCGTTGTCAAACAAACAGGTATAGCGGCCTCTGTCGTTGGCCGTCAGCGAATTGGTTCCCTTGCGGGCCATCGACTCGAAGTACAGAGTTGTCTGTATGTTATAGACTTCGGCCGCTTCCAAGTTTTCCTTCTTCTCGATCCGGAACTGCATGTTATCGGCCGTAATTTCGGCATCGTTTTGCAACCAGACAACATTGGCCTTCGGTTTCGATCGGGAAATACAGGTTAGCTTAAAGTTTCGGTCGCCCTCTTTGCCGATAAACTGGGGTTTCATCGGAATGGTCACGTGTGGCGCCTCGTTTACGGTCAAATAGACCGAACCCTGTTGACCTTTGCCCAGCGAATTGGACGGTTCGCAAAAATAGCGACCTTCGTGACTGACGTGGACAGCGATGAACGTATAGTTTACTCGTCGACCCAATTCCTGTTGTTCCTGACCTTCGCGCCACCAGCGATACTCGGGTTCGGGAAAACCGGGTGGCTTCGAGTTACAGGTCAAGGTAAACGGTTTGCCGGCAATGGCTACCGGATTCGCGGGTAGTATTTCCGTTTCGCCCGGTCTATGTTTCACACGTATTCTAACGGTAGCGTTATGTGTCCGTTCGATACCCTCCGAGGCACCCGACGGTTTCAGATTGGCACTGGCCACACATACATAGTTGCCGGTATCGTCGGCTTTAATCCGATTCAAGGCCAACACTGTACCGGTCTGTTTGAATGACGGATCGTTTTCCTTAAGCCAGACAACGGTATGTGGTTTAGGATTTGAGGCTATATTGCACTTAACATTCAGTGTTTCGTCGTTGACAGCCTCGCGTTCGGGTACGACATTCACTTTCGGACCGTAAAGTACGGCCAACTCTAGCGACTCTTTAGCCGGTTGGCCGCCGACACCGTTGTCGGCCACGCACTCGTATTTTCCGGAGTCGTCAGGTTTGACACGAATAATAGTATGATTGTTAGTATTGGTTAAGATCTGTCCGTTTTTCATCCACTTGACGCTACGCACCGGTGGATTGGATTCAACAGTGCAGCTCATCTCAGCGTTTCCGTCTACAGACACCTTCAGTGGGTTATAGGGGCCGACAGTCAGACGTGGCTTATCTAATGAGCGCACAAACAAAGTCATTATTTATAGATTGATAGACTCTCTTGAGAGACACAACAATAGGTGACAGTTAGATATACTACTGTCTATAACTACTGTATAAGTATTACTGTACTTATGATATATTGTATTATTACAAGTAATCATTATTACATATCATTAAGTATTAATACATACAGTGAACAGTTAGCGGAACGTAAGCCTCCATTTTCTTGTCCTCTCTGATAGCCCGGTTCCAGACTGTGCACCTATAGATGGCCCGATCGAGTTCAAGTTGCGGATCAATAGTCAGCTTATTGACAGTAGGCTTGTCTTTGGTTAGGCCACGAGTCACCTGTCCGTCAAGGGGTTGATTGTCGCGAAACCATTGGACACTCGGGTCGGGACTGCCGCCCTGACTGGAACAGCTCAGCTCAAACAGTTCACCTTCGCGTGCCACTGGATTCAAGGGTGTGATCACTGGTGGTCCGGGCGGGACTGGTAGCATCAAAAAAAATTAAGGCACAGTAGCAAACAAAAAAAAACGATTTAATATGCATATTATTATTAATAATGATAGGAACAGGTCATATATTATTATAATTTTTAATGTTTTTTTTAATGGACAATCCCCTTACTTAATATAGTCACAGCATAGGACTGGCTCTTAATTTCGGCACCATTGCCGGCCTCCTTGATCTTGCACTCGAACTGGCCATTGTCTCTGTCGTACTGAGCCTTTTTGATAACCAAATCGTATTTGCCTTCATTGACACTATGTTCAACTGTATAGTCCGATTCCAACGGGTTTTCATTGATGGCTACCGGATCCGTACGGGCATTGTTTGTCCGGTGCCAATAGTAGATCAATTTATTGGCATTTGGTCCCAACAATTGGGGATTGAAACGACAATCCAATCTAATGGTCTCGCCTTCAATGGCATCCCTATTGCCCGTCGGCTCTATTTGTTGCGATCGGACGCCTCCTTTAAATAATATTAATTTTTTTTTATTATTATATAATCATTTCAAATGAAACACTTAAATGTTTAAAAAAAAGTTGGAAATAGTTTCGCATAGTTTTATTTTATAGTAGTATTAGTAATCGTATTATTAATATTATATAAATCAAAATTATGGTTAGTTTTCTCTCTCTCTCTCTCTCTCTCTCTCTCTTAAAATTCAAGTGCAATTTTCAATGTATGACTGCTTGCCTATTATTACAGGTGCCTCTCCCTTAAAGTTTTTAGACATATATATATATATAATTTATATACAATATATATATATATATATTAAATAAATAGTCGACTCAATGATGCGATCATTTTTTGATTTATATTATATCAAATACTGTGTATATATTTGTAGATTTTATATATATATATATATACTGTATATATATTGACAATACACACATACATACAAACATAACCGGCCTCTCAATCAAACTTATCACATAACATACTAGCATATAGGGGTTTGTTGTATAAAAATCACAACAACAACTACTACTACTACTACTACTACTAAAACTCAAAATCAAATCAAATAATCAAACTGTTGGGTTTGAATCAAATTGAAAACTTTTTTTTAAAAAAATTTTTATTTGATTTAAAACAAACATTTTTTTCTGACTTTATATATATATATTTGATTATACACTTAGTTTTATGTGTGTCTGTCCTATCTATCATATATATTGTATGATAAAAATCAAACGTTTAAACATTTTATTTGAATTGTATATACAGTATATAAAATACTATTGAATTTTATTTTTTAGATGCTATTGAATGATAATAATAATAATGATAAAATTGGATAACGAAATAAAATAATGATAAACTAATGATAAAATTATTATTTATTTAATGAGCAACGGATATCGTAAATTAATTTCCAAAAAAGTTTAACTAAATATTATTATTATTATTATTATATAAAACTAAATAAATTATAATCAATAACTTTATATACAGTATATATATATATACTGTATATACTCTTAACTCTTAATCGATATTTTATGCAAAAATTTCTCGTTTGATTATAAATATAATAAAAAATAATAAAATACTAGTTATATATATTTTAAAAAAAGTTGCTAAACATTTGAGGAAAAAATTATTAAAGAGGAGAGAGAGAGAAAAAAAATCTAGTATTCAATGTATTACATATTAAAACATTTTTTTATATTTATAGTATATTTATTTATTATATATATATATATATATATATATATATATATATTTGAAGACTAGTTTTCCAAACCCCTCTCCCAATACATACACAAAAATAAAACTTGAAAAAAACTAGTGTTGACTAATAAAAACTGCTTAAATATATATATATATAAAGTATATAAAGTTTATGTATACTTATATATATATATATAGTTTTTTCTGATCTGACAATCAAAATGAGCACTTTTAGCAAAATCTAACGATCCCAGAGGTCAGACTTCCTTGAGATTGGGGGCAAACAAGACATTGATTGCGATCCCATTTTTATTCATAGCCAATAACAACATATATATACTGTATTTATACAGTATATATATATAGTATTACCTGACTTATAGAGTGATAGGTATACAAGTATGAGATATTTTTGAACCAGATTTAACTTATATGTCATTTGACTTATTATTTGACTTTTCAAAATAAAATACATGAAAATCATTTTTTATTTAACATTTTATATACCGTATATACTGTATACACTGTATATTTCAGTTTTTTCTAAAAAATAATCATTTTTTATATATAAATATTTCTAGATTTTCTTGTTATGATGTGTTACTACTACTGTAGTTAACTAACAACACATTCAAAAAAAAACTAAATAATAATAATAATAATAATTTTTTATATAGATTTTTACAGTCAATTGTCTGACAACTCGTTAGACATTTAACCGAAATAATAACAATAGTATAACAATAGACAACTACAACAACAAAATAAATAAATAAAATAAATACAACAATTTGTTACTACTATTCAATGGATAGATAGATATATAGATACAGTAGATATCATATACAGGTATATACAGTATATACCTGTATTGTACGATACGGTACTTTATATCTTTGTATAATAGTATCGCTTTTCATATAAATTACAAGTTTTTCAAAAAAAATATATTAATAATACTTTTTTTCTATTCAATTGTTTTGTGTATTAATTGTTTCTCTCTTTCTCTCTCTCTTTCTCTCTCTCTCTCTCTCTTTAAAACATATGATTAAAACTCCTTATAGATTAAAATTAAATATGTTTTTTTAATATCACGAATCGGTAGCCGACAACAACAAAAAAAATCTTAATCTAGATTTCGATATCATATTATATATATTTACTGTGTATTTGTATTATATATTAAACAAAATAATTTTCAAAAAAAAGTATTATATTTCAACATTATCTCAAAAGTCAATTCAATTGAATTTAATGATCGTTTTTATGGTTCAGTCATTTTTTAAATAGATTTTTAAAAAGAGTAGTATAGCTTAGGATAATAACTTTGGATTTATTTTTTTGTTTAATATATATATATATATATATTTAAAAAAAACTAAAATAAATAAAAAATACATTAAAATCTTCACTTATATATATATATATCATATATGAATATATATTTAAATTGTCTTACAATTGTCTACTATTATGTTATTTCTCTCTCTCTCTCTCTCTCTCTCTCTCTCTGAATCATCATTTGATAATAAAAAGTAAGACATTTAAAGAAAATATAATCAAATAATAATAATAATAATCATAAAGAAGACGACGATGAAGAAGAATAAGAATAAGAGAAAAATAATAATAATATCTTTTAAATATATATATAATAATAATAAAAAAGGTTTAGATTTTAAGATTAAAAAAATATTTTGTATAAAAGCAATGAATTGAATGAATTGAGAGCTAACTCTTCAAGATTTTCTCTTTTAAAATATAATTTTTATATTATATTTCAAATGAAAATCTCATTTTTATGGACTTGTCTTTTGTTAAGTAAACACAACCATCTCATGCATAACGATAGTAACGATAATAATAATAATAACCCAACGATTGCGAGGGCTGTCATGGCCTCTCTCTCTCTCTCTCTCTCTCTCTCTCTCTCTCTCTTTCTCAGGATAGCTCTCCCCCTCTTATAGTAGTAGTAGTAGTAGTAATAGTGTAGTGGAGGGACAGACACGAGAGAAAAAGTGAACGCATTGTTATTTCCTTTCGACTCACACACACACACACACACACACTTGAGAGTGAGTGAGTGAGAGAGAGAGAGAGAGAGAGAGAGATGGGAACAAAGGAAATGGTTTTTCATTTGTGTGCTGTTGTTGTGGAGAGTCGAGAGTCCAGGTCTAAGAGGTAAGGGCTGAACGATTGGCGCAAATTACTGGAGAAAGAGAAAACAGGTCTCTCTCTCTCTCTCTCTCTCTTTATTTTTCGTATTATTATATTATATATCTCTCTTTCTTTCTCTCTCTCTCTCTCTAACTATCTTAGTGTCTAATTTTGGTGGTGAATAAATCGTAAGGAGTGGGGAGAGATTTGAGAGATTTTTTTTTCTTTCTCTCTCTCTCTCTCTCTCTATCTTTTTGTTGGTGTGAGTGAGTAGTCCGGAGAGTAAATGACATGATATTCGCATAAATTTTGACATTAGTTTATAAATTACAGTGTTTTTAAAAGCCCTGTCCTTGAGTTCTCTCTCTCTCTCTCTCTTTTCTGGTGTATTTGCTTGAGGCCATCAACTTCTCTCTCTCTCTCTCTCTCTCTCTAACTCTAAGCTTATTACTGGACGCCATATTCCCTTCAATTCCTTTACTTAATACACACACACACACACCTGGTGGTGGTTGGATTGGCATGGGATGGCTGTGCTCAGGCTTAGGGATGGCATGGCTGGTTTATGTGTGTGTGTGTATGTACAGTATGTATGTATATTAAGTTTGTCGATGGTGTAATGACCAAAGCCGTATTATAACATTTTCTAGTTAGTTATATATATATATATACATATATATGTATGTATATACCTGTTCCCCAACACACACACACACACCAAAAAAGGCCTCTGGCACTGGTATATAACTATATGTTTTAATATATATATATATATAACTGACTCTATCTTTGCATCTATTCGTCAAAAAGATTAGTTTTTTACTTTAGGGAGATTTTGCTTTGGTTTTTAGTTTTAAGCATTTTTATTTTATTTTTTTTTAGGTAACACACCCTTAAAAAAGTGCTTTAATAATAATACTAATACTAATAAATTCAGTATTAGACTGTTTGAGACACACACACACACACACACACACCAGGCTATGACTGTATGAAAACACCCAAAAATAAAACATTTTTTCGTTATATATATATTTACTATTATATATTTTAGCATAACTTTTTTTTGCTGCTGCTTATAATGAATTTAATGTTCATCAGTATATACTGTACTGTATATATATAATAGCCGCACAACATATATATGTATATATAATATATAAAACATCCAAAATATAGCAAAAAGAAAAAAAATTAGAAACGAGTTTAAAAGCATATATTATATTATATATATATAGTATATATTAATGTTCTCCAATCCAGGAAAGTTATATATAAATATAATAATGTATTGTATACAGCATACAAAAAATTAACCATACAAAATAGTTTTTACTTTTCATAATTTTCATCATTTACTCAGATTGTTTATCAATCTGAATATGAATTGTTTCAAGTATTTGTTGGATTATTGGAAGTTTAAATTATTAAAATTTAAAAATTGTTTATAATTTAGTTAATATTTTTAATTAATTTACAATAATTATTATTTCATAGCCAAATCACTTAGTTTTTATCAATTTTTTAACTTGATTTTTATTAATTATTTTTTTTAACTATTTTTATATAAATATTTAGTAATACTAATAACAATAATATATAATAATTAGCATTAATTCTATTTACTTAATTATTATTATTCTAAATATGTATATATATATAAATTTAATAATTAAAAAATATATCTTTTATAACTTTTATTAATTTTAGTTAGTTATATAATAATCAAATTTTAAAAGTTAAGTTTAATTATATTTTTTGTTTTGTCAATTTTTTAGCTTTTTAATTATTAAAATAAAAAAGTACTTTATCAAAAATAATATTAATATAATAGATATATAATAAGTTCAATAAATAAATATATATAAATTTTTGATAAACAATCTGAGTTAATGTTGAAAATTATGAAAAGTAAAAACTATTTTGTATGGTTAATTTTTTGTATGCTGTATATAATACATTATTATATTTATATATAACTTTCCTGGATTGGAGAACATTGGTATATATATATATATATATATATTGGATGAGTTGAGAGTACGGGATAAGCAACAACACAACAACAACAAAAACACCAAATTTGGGAGCACCCGACTTAATTGCTTATACATACTGATTGAGATTGAAGTGAGTGAGTGAGTATGTATTAGAGAGAGAGAGAGAGAGAGAGAGAGAGAGAGAGAGAGATAAGGTATTAAGATTTTTGCCATTACGGGTGAGGCCGGTGTGTGTGTGAGTGTGTGTATGTCAGCATATGGTAAGTATTGAATACTACTTATAATAATATAATAATATATTGAAATATATTGGGAAAATCTTAGGGAACAAAAAGCTTAGGGAATATAAATAGTTAGCGAGAATAGAGAGAGAGAGAGAGAGAGAGAGAGTTAGAGGGAGAGAAAAATAGCCATCACTTCTGAAGAAAGAGCGCCAGACTCTCTCTCTCTCTCTCTCACAGGTATTGTTGTATTTTTGTATATACCGTATGGTGTGAGTCATTCACGAGAGTTACGGTTGAATAGAGAAAGAGAGAGAGAGAGGGCACACGCGAATGGCCGGTCAAACCGACTCGTGAGACATATATTGGGAAACGAGAGAAAGATATTTGAGACACAATAAAGTGACTGCCATTGAGTTTATTAGAGACACACATACATATATACATACACACATACATACATACATACATACACATACATACATACATACATACACACACACACACATACATACATACATACACACTGGTATATACGGTATATAATATAAAATTTAATATATTCCCAACATTTTTAAAGTGTAATATACCTGTATATACCTGTAATAGATATATACAGTATAAATATATATATATATATATGTTGTTGTGTTTTTCAAGAGATCATGACTAATATAACGACACATAATATTATTATTATTACTATTAAAAATGTCTTTTTTCCTTAAGTGTGAGATAAAGATATTGTATTCAAAAAAATTACTGTTTAATGTTAAATGAAAATGTAATTTTTAATGGACATAACTATTTTGTTTTGTTTGTTTATATAAAATTTATAACAACTAATTTCATAATTGTGTATTAATTGTATTCAAATGATTCAAAATTTTGATTACATGATAAAAAAAGGGGCAACAAAATTTCAATTTAATATATGATATAATTGATTATCAGTTTTGATTATAATATAAATATAATATAAGTATATATATAAAAATATTATTGTATATAAATTTATATACATGCACATACATACTGTACATACACATACATACTGTACATACACATACATACTGTACATACACACACAAAATATTAATATACAATATGTATAATAAATAATAATAAAGATTTTTTTATAAAAGCTTAATCCTATATCAATGTTTTACTACTAAAAAAAATATTGATATATAATATTTTTTAGGATATATATATCTATATATGCTATATATATGATATGTGACTTACCATTGATTGTCACCAACACAAGTACCACCAATGAGTGCACCACAGATGATAATCTTAATGATGATGGTGTGGTTGCGGTGATAGTAGTAGTAGTGGTGGCCATTGTTTTGTATTTGAATAATCAAATCACACGGACGGGTATTATCACACAAATCAAATCACATACACATATAATAATAGGTAATAATCAAATCCAAGTGCTGATAATGTGTGTATATATATGTATATATATATATTTCCCGGGTATGTATGTATCACTTATGGGTCTACAGTGACCTAACTGATGATAGCCATGTATATAAAAAATAACATAATAATAATTATATCAAATATACTGTATAGTTATGTGTGTTGTTGTCTCGACCACTGACTGCCACTAAACTAACTTAACTGCCAGACCAGTACCCCTAACAATTCAATGCACTAGCATTGCCAAATGGTGGTAGTGGTGGTGCCAACAGGTAATACAGGTACTACGCAAAAGCACTGGGGGTTTACACACACACACACACACACACAACAGTGCAAACTTTACAGGTAAAACCTATATACATGCTGGTTTACACTGTATTAAAAACTATATACAAAATAATTTTCTATACAAACGCCATCTACTTGTATATGTATGTGTGTGTGTGTGTGTGTGTGTGTGTGTGTGTGTGTGTGTGTGTGTGTGTGTGTGTGTGTGTGTGTGTGAGAGAGAGAGAGAGAGAGAGAGAGAGAGAGAGAGAGAGAGGACAGGGATGTCATCAATTCCCGCAAACCCCAATATTTTTAAGTGTTGCTTATGTATGTGAATTTTTGGCTGTATGTATAAAAATTTGTGCACATGTATGTGTGTGTGCACATATGTGCTCAGCTCGGGGACGGCTACCACTGGGTTTCCCTCTACAGTATACATATACACACAGTATATATATAATACCAGCAGTGACTTGACTGGGCTTTAACTGTGCCAAAGGGCATAAAAGCACACACACTTCACCAAAAAAATACAGTCAGTCCTAACAGTAGATCTGGTACTCAACAAAAAAAATACATATAATATAAGGCATTAAATAGGAGAGAAAAAATTCAAAAAGTCATTCATCTAAAGATAATCTATATTTAAGAAATATATTAAATACTGAAAAAATAAAATATATAATAATATTCAATGCTTTCAGGTATGCCATACCAGTGTAGTAGTACATACCAGGTATAGTGAATATATAAATACGATAAATACATACATAAGCGCCTGTATTAGGTTTGACACATCCCTGTTTTTTTTATATAATGCTAAGCAATCACTTTTTTTAAATACAACCAAAAAACATATAATACATTAGATTACAATTTTTATGTCTATAATCTAGTCATTTATGATAGAGAATAATAATAATAATAATAATAATAATAAAAAGAAAATAAAAAGTTTTTTAAATAAAAAGTTTTTTTTTCTTTTAATTTTCACTTAAAGAATATTATATATATATATACTGTATATATAATAGATAAAAGAAAAAGTCATTTAATATGATATTTATATTTTGCTTATTTTTAATAAACAAAAAAATAATAGTCAAATGATGAGAGAAAAAGAGAGATCTAATAATAAACAACACAAAAAATTTTGCTCTTTTTTTAGATGTTATTAATATTACTTATTATTATTAATAATAATATAATTTCAAAAAAAATTTCATTGCATTATAAGTTAGGATTTTGTGTGCAATTAGTTTTTAACGACCGATTTGTGCGAACACAAAGAGTTTATTATTTTTAAATATACAAAAAAAAAACTTTTTATTTACTTATTTTGATGAAAAAATAAGTATTATTTTTATAACTTTTTTTTCTTTTAATTTTATTATTATTATTATTTATTAAGTAAATGCGCTAAAAGTGATAATTCACGACCCGATGCTGTTTTTTTAGTGATGTTGGTGTTGGTGGTGCTGGCAGTGGTAATGATGGTGCTGTCAGTGGCCATACATTTGCGAGCGACGCCTAAATTTTTTTTTTATATTTTTTGGTTAGTTGTTATTATCATCATCAGTATTATTATTATTATTATGGTTGCCATCAATTGACACTTAATGATAACTATTTTTTGTGTTGTTGTTATTTGGCAGTTTGAGAGTTGGTTTTTTTGTGTGGTTTTTTTTGTGTAGTATTATTATTATGTATATTACTCTCTCTCTCTCTCTCTCTCTCTCTCTCTCTCTCTCTCTCTCACTCACTCACTCACTCACTCACTCACTCAGAGAGAGAGAGAGAGAGAGAGAGAGAGAGAGAGAGAGAGAGATGCGAAATCCGACAAATATGTTATTTATTTTTGTGTTCAACAAAAAAAACTGAATTTTTAATAGTGATTTGTGAGCTCTCTCTCTCTCTCTCAATCACTCTGGGACCCTCGGGAGGGGGTCATACAGGTGCCCGCATATGTATATATTTATATATATACGGTATATATATATAGTGGACAATACCAATTTTTTATGACTATTGTATTTATTTTTTGGTACTATAACTATACTACATGGGTTAGAGAGCGAAACAATTTTTATGAGTGTGCATACAGTATGCATAATAATAATAATAATAATAATAATAATAATAATAATAACAATTTGTTGTCACTGAGACTCTAATGTATTGGATTTTTTTGGTGTTATCTTATAATAAAAAACAGATGCATTTTATTTTTATTTTTTTGTTAACCAACACAACAACTACTTGAAAGTATAATTTAAAAATATATCATAAATAAAAAAATTAGTACAATATATATATACAGTATATAAAGTACAGATTGCAAAGCTATTGACTTTTTTTTCATAAAAAAATATAAAACATTTTTTGGTTGTATTTAATGGAAAAATAGCAAGAATTTCATTAACCTTATTATATATAACTTACAGTACACTAAACACACGTGCAGTTTAACAGTGCATTTATCAATATATTTATTTATATATAACATAAATACATTGTATTACATAACACATGCATAAAAATAAATATATATAATTGTGACTCAATTGATGCCTAGAAAAAACTATCAAAATATTTATTTTTTATAATTTTTTTATTATATATATATTTCAAGTAAACTCTTTACACAATAACAAAAATAATAGTTTATATTATTTATATTATAATATATAAATTTATATATATATATATATATATATATATATTGGGTTCAAAATTCAATAGAGCGCATAATTGTTGTACATTTTTGTTGTTGTTGTTGTTGGAAAGTCATATACAGTACAAGTATTTATATAATACTAATAAATTGTATTCAATTGGGCGCCCATTATATTGTCATGTATTATATACTATAGACTATAATATTATTATTATTATATAAATTTATTATTATTATTATTAATACCAGGGCTATTGTATTGGGCTCTCTCTCTCTCTCTCTCTCTCTCTCTCTCTCTCATTATTATCTCATTGTCATTATTAAAATGATGTGAATATTATTTTTATTTTATTTTTTGTTATCTAAAAGAAACATTATATAACTTTTATACAGTATATACAGGTATTAACAAAATAATGTTTTTTGTTAATTCAATATGTATTCATACTGTAGACATTCAATCAGTAGATGTTAGCCATAGATAGCATTAGCATAACTTTAACAAATTATTTTTTTTTATTTATTTGTTTAGACTAATAAAAGCGCTATTTGATTAAATTAAATGCTAAGTACATTATATAATAATTTATATATAAATTTTTATTTTTATTATTATTATTATTATTACAATTATTGTTGTCGTTGTATGTTTTATTTTGTATGTCTAATAGTTATTGTAATATTATTCAACTCAATCAATGCATTTATCTATCTATCTCTCTATCTCTCTCTCTCTCTCTCTCTCTCTCTCTCTCTCTCTCTCTCTCTCTCTCTCTCTCTCTCTCTCTGGCGTCTCATTCATTGGCAATATTTGTATGTCAAAGACATGTGAATTATATATATATATATATGATATAAAAATCAGGTCCAACTAGTTTTCAAATAAAGTTGTTTAATAAGTTTTCTTAACTTTTTTTGATAGCATTTAAAGTTTAACATTTAATAAACAGTATATACAGGTATATATATATAACTACAAATGTTTTTATATTTTATAGTATATATATTTAATGCACTCAATTTTTTTGAATAAAATTTTTTTTATAAATATTATTTATTTATTATAATTATTATTTTATTTACATATTATTGTTTGTGTGTCCATGATCCTTTTATACCTATTATTCAACCCTACAATATAAACTACAAATAAAATATTAAAATAATATAAAAGAAAATCATAGGAGCATTGATCTTACGATTTTTTATTTAAGTAATTTATCTTTAAATAAATATATATAAAAAAATTTATATATAGTATTACATGAATTATTTTGTACAAAAAAATATATTGTATTTATTTTGTATTATATACGGTATATATATAAACACGAATAACAAATAGTGTGCATTAAATACAAGTATATAAATATATATATATATATAAAATTACACTCATTTGCTGAATATATAATCATTTAATGCGAAATTCATAATAATAAAAAAATATTTATATATATATATATATTGTAGTACTATATATATATACTATATTTTTTTGTGTACAATACAGTACTGTACAATATTTTACTACTATTATAGTGAATAAATTGTTTTTAATGTGTGTGTGTGTGTAAAACAAAAGCGTTTTTTTAGCTATAATTTAGTTTAAGTTTTGTTTTTTTGTTGTCAATAAATTACAAAATTGCTGTGCAATGCATGCTTTTTTAATATAAGTGTTGTTATTATTATTATTAAGTGATAGCGTTATCACTAAAAAAATAAAAGTATATTTTGAATGAATCACATAAGCATACTATGCTATTATATACAGTATATATATATATAGTATATACTGTATATATACGGTATATAATAGCGTAAAAAATTATAAAATACACAAACAAATCACGTGTTGAATGCGAAAGGATCGTGATTTTAGTAAAAAGTAAACATTAAACTATATTAGTATATATATATACACACAGTATATATACCTGTATATTGTATCATTAATATATATACCTGTATAATATATATATATATATATATATATATATATATATACAGTACTATGAAATTCATAGAAATTTATAGTATGAATCATAGACTGTATAATAGAAACTTACAGTATTTAGTATATGTGCATAAAATATATACAATTTATAGCATAGGTATAGTTTAGTTCAATGTTATATATTATATATATAAAGTGGATGAGAGAGAGAGAGAGAGAGAGAGAGAGAGAGAGAGAGAGAGAGAGAGAGAGAGAGAGAGACAACAAAGAGTAGATACTATAGCGATAATACTGTATATATATAATATACCTGTGCTCTCATACAAAATGTAGACTACATAAGTCATGAAAAAAAGTTTACACACACACACACACACACATACACACACACACACACACATACACACACACACACACAGCAAACACACCATCAAAATGATGGGTTAGTTTTATATATATACTGTATATATATATTTTGTGTCCGTTCAACCACTAGTTAAACCAGATTTTTCAATCTTTTTTTCAATGAAACGACTCACTTGTACTGAGAAATCAAAAAAAAAATTATTTAAAAAAAATTATATATAAATTTATATGTATATAAAAATATAATAACCCATCAAAAAAATGAATTTCAATATACACTATAATTTTTTTCCTCTCTCTCTCTCTCTCTCTCTCTCTCTCTCTCTCTCTCTCTCTCTCTCTCTCTTAAAGTTTCAAACCAACAATTTCTGTTATTTATCATAAAAAAAATTATTGTTGACTAAAAAAACATAATTTATATAACTTTATACACAGTTTATACTGTATATATATACTTGTATTTTATTTACGTTTTTATTTACTAATAATAATATTATTATTTTTTTCTAATATTATGTTATTTTGAAATAAAAACCAGAAATATGTTTCCATGAAAATTGTTTCTTAAATAATAATAATAATAATTTATTTTTAAAAAGCTTTGAAAAATTGATAATTAGATAATACAATAGATTACAGTGTAAAACGAAATGAATTATTAAATAATAATAATATTATGATAATAAAATACATTTAACTATTTTAAAACAATATATTTATTTAATATGTATTATTATTATTATTATTATTATTTTATGTTTACTAAGTTATATATATATAATATCCTTATATTTATACATATATATATATAAATAAATAAAATAATAATTTCTATGTATGTAATTACAGTTTAATTTACATTTAACGTCCATTTAGTTATATATATATATATATCTGTATATACTGTATATAAAATCAATTGCATTTAATTAAAAGGCTTGTTATGATAATTATTTCAAACAAATAATAATAATATAAAAAAAACTTTTTCTAAGAGTGCTTTTGTAATAATAATTCATATGAAAAAAAATATTATATTATTATTAAAAAAAAACTTTATTTTTTTGTTGTACATTACATTACATTATATTATTTGTAAAAATATATTGACCCAAAATCACACAATTCAGACCTCAATTTTTATGATTAAGTAATTGAAAATATGATTTATTGCTAATATTTATATATATATATATAAAGAGTGAAAAAAAACTTAAAACATAAATCAAAGACAAACAATACTTGAAAATTATTGAGAGAAAGAAAAAAAATTATTATTTAAATATTTAACTTTTAAAAAGTATTTTTATTTTAGTTTATTTTATTTTTACAATTACTGTATATATTTTAGATAAGAAAAGTGGTAACCAATTGATTGCGTAAAAAATATATATACCATTAATAATATATCAATTGTTTTTTATTTTATTTTATATTTTTTTAAAATAAAAGATTAACATTTAGTGTTCATGTGATTGAAAAATATCAATCGTACGAATCATAATAATAATAATAATAATAATATATTTATATTAATAGTGTTATTTAAATTGAGGACAAATGAGTTATTTTAGTTTTTTAATATACAGTGATATTTTTGAAATATATATATATATTTTTGTTTTTTTTATCTTAATAGGAGTTTATAGTATTATTTATAGTGAAATATTTAACTGATATTTTTTCTATTTATTAATATATGATATTATATATATATATATATATATTTATTTAATTTTTATTTATTTATTTTGAGAGATAAAGTTGTAATTGCTTTCAAATATGATATCATCCGTACTTGAGATGCATTTCTCTCTCTCTCTCTCTCTCTCTCTCTCTCTCTCTCGATGTGTCAATCATTTGTATCTAACATTTTTTCAACAACTAAAACATAATAATAAAAAATAAATAAATAAAATAGTTTGTTTTTTTAAACACAAAAAAAATTTCAATATATTTACATAAAATCATATGATATTTTTTAATGAAATTTTTAGTTTTATATTTAAAAAAAAAAATAAATAAATAAATTTTAAATAACATAAATATATAATCACTATTTTCAGGGATAATGTTTATTACAACTACTACTACTACTACTACTATATTATTACAACAACTACTACTACTATTAACTAAATTATAACTACATAAATATAATATAACATAATATTATATATGATGATGATGATTTTATATATTGTAAATACCTTACTAATGCTTAGTGACATGTAATACAATCATTATAAAAACATATTTATTTTTATTATTATATTATTTTTTTTAGATTTTTTTAGATTTACAAAAAAAATAAAACTATTTAATTTCAAACGTTGAGTGAGTGAACAAAAATCTTTTTATTTTTTTTATTTTTACAAATCAGTTATAGTTATTTGCTAAACAAAATTATATTACATTAATATACAGTATATATATATATAATATGATAATTTTATTTTTATTTTATTATTAACTATCATATTATATTTATTTGATAAAATAGCAAAAACAACTATATAACTATATGTTATATTATATTATATTCAATTCAATTTATAGTATATTAAGCATCAAACTCATCAATAAATATTATAATATAATACATATATAGTATGTATATATTATATACATACACAGGTATGTAAGCAATAATAAAAACAAAATTTACGAAAAATAAAAAATTATAATGAAATCAGAGTTGCCATTATACAATATATTGTATATTTTACATATATGTGATGAAAAATATATATCAAATTTACTGCAATGTAATAACATATTCATTTAAATAGCTTGAATACAGTATATATATACAGTATATATATATATTATATATATATATATTTTTTTGATACATAATCAACATATTTGCATCAAACAAAACGCGATTTGAGTATGTGATTAGAAAAATGTCTATTTTTTTGCTGTATGTATGTGCTAATGATTGCCATGTAATATGTATTTGCCTCAAGCATAGTTATGCTATTTTATCATATAACAGGTATCCAATATAAAGTATATATTATATATATATATATATATACAGTATATATATAATACTTATGTATAAATATATACAGTATTAGGTAAGCACTGAATTCCTGACATTTAATGTAATACAGAAGAGATCTATATTTATATTTATAATTATAATTATTTTTTGTGTGTTTTCATTACAATATTATATACTCATACTATACATGTATATATAAATTTTGTATATGATATCAAATTATTAGAGGTATTAGTTATTATAGTTATTATTATAGCAAAAAAAATTGTTTTTGATTTAATGAACCATTTGTTTTTTTCTATATAGAGTTTTAATTATCCAATAATTATTGTATATTATAATAAAAGTAAATGAATTTCACTTGAATTTGAATTTCTCTCTTGAAATTATGTGTGATAATGTCTAATACATGTAGATATCATATTGAAATATGTATTTTATTTTTTTTATTTTATTTTTTGATGATAATTGCAATAAAATAAAATCAAAAAATTAAGTGTACTTTGAAATCAGTTTTGAGAGTAAAAATAGATTCAATTGTTGGCAAAAATTACAGACAAAATTATTGTGCATTTTATGCTATTATTATTATATAAATTTAATATCACTCTCAGCACTTATATATATACTATATATAAATTATATACCGGTATATATAAATAAAGTATCATATGATAAGGTTAATGAAAAGTCATTGACAATGTTTAGTAGTAGATGTGGTTAGGGTTGTGTGTGGGGGTTAGTAATACTAACTTATTTTATATAAAAAGGGATGACTATGTTTAAGGGATGTCTTACATATACATTAAATAAAGATAATAATAATATCATAATATGATCGTATGATACAGTATATCAGTTAATTAATTGCACAACAAAAGTAACATAAAGTTCAAGCATAGCATATGATAACAACAACAAAATTTCATTATAAAAAAAATTATTTAATATATATTATATAAAAACTAAGCAATTGTTTGACTAATACTGTATAATCTAATGCATCCCAACTGTTATCTTCAATTAAATGCTCGGGTAGTCAGTCAGTCATTAAAAAAAAAATAATTAAAGGGCTTATGCTTTATGTAAAACTAAGTGCCAATGATTTTGATTGTTGGCTTCTCTCTCTCTCTCTCTCTCTCTCTCTCTCTCTCTCTCTCTCTCTCTCTCTCTCTCTCTCTCTTAATTAAAATTGATTATTATTTATTTATTTATTTTTGTAAAACTTAACTTTTTTTTTAAAAGTATAGATAAGTTAACTACCAGTACACAGTGTACAGTACATACAATACTGTATTTTAATACACTCTCATGTGATACTACATGTATCTACTTATAAACTGCCTGTGTATGTCACCATGGGATCAATTGGCAAAACTGTTTGTTGTTGGGTATTGGCTGTACGTGTATATACGTGTATGACAAGCCCATCTAATCCGGTAATGAGTGAGTGATAGAGAGAGAGAGAGAGAGAGAGAGAGAGAGAGAGAGAGAGAGAGAGAGAGAAGATAGACAGAAAAAGATAGACAGATATATACCACTGCAAAGAGTTACAGCTAAACAGTGCAAACTCCAAACAGTGGAGTCGTCGCAGATGAAAATGAAAAAAACATATTTAAAGACTAGTTGTCGCTGTGATAGTCATATAGTATACGCAATAAAAAATATTGTTGGTTTTAATTGATATCCATTTAATCAATTTAACCAATCATTTAATAATATATATTCATCGACTACTGTGATTGACTTAAAACAACTGGTCTGATAGGATGGGTATGTAAACACTACTATATGATTGTTGAAAAACATTTTGACTACTATTTGCTAAACTATATAAAAATATTTATTTTTATTTGTTTTTTTCCAATCACTGGAATATTCTTGACTTACTCGACATACAACTCCCTTACCACCCCCGCCCCTACACTAACCACCGCCCACTTAACAAATCCATACCCTAACCAATCAAACAGATACCCAAACGGAAGACGAAAACTTCGAAGCGTTGCGTCTGTTGATGAGGCCGTCGATGACGGAAACTGAGGACAATAATCCGTTGAATATTATTGGCAAATACGCCTCCGAATGGCCTAGTTGACTTAATGTAGTAACCAATGACTACGGTGATGATGGTGGTGAAGGAGGAGGCGTAGTAGGAGGTATCGATGTCTGCGGCGGCGGCGGCGGCGGCGGTGATAGCGGAGGACAGCAGCAGACAATCGATGCCCTACTGTTGATGGCCAACGACGAGTTGACTGTCGAACAGGTACTTGACGTACCCGTCTGGTCCAATGAGCTCAAAGAGGCCCGTTTCGCGACACTGGAACAGTTCGAAGAGTTTATGATCGATTGCGAAAGTCTTCTTCAGCAACAGCTGGTTACCTACGATTACAATACATTCAATTCGTTTCTCCAGTTTTACAATAACTATCGTAAAGAGAATAACAAGAAGAAGCAGAAGAAGAACACTAACAACAACAACAACAATAATAATCGTCCAGCGATTCCGTTGATAAACTTTGTGTCCAACTATAAGAGTCGTATAGCTAAGGATAGCTTGTCGTGTGTCGGCCTATCGATTCAGTTGATCCGTAAGTTGCGTCAAACGAATCAACGATTTAGTCGATCGATTGGTTTGGTGTCCTGCGAGGAAGCGGTCAAAGATACCGGAGCCTATACTATACAATCGCCAAACAATGTCAAAGAACATTGTATGGTCTGTATTAAGGTCAACATTGGTGGCCGCCGATCGGGCTACGCCCTACTGGATCCTGGCTATCATATTGCCCGACCGATTATCGTAATGGAGGACAACTGTTATCCGCATACGTCGTGGTTCACTTTTTCGGCCAATCCGAAAGTAACCAAAGAGTACTGCTATTTCCTGATTGACCATCAGTTTATTGGCTGGAAGGTACGGGAAACCCGTAACGGTATACTCGATGAATGGGAAAACTTGATTTACGTGAACAGACAGTTCGCTAAATGTCTAACCATTACGGAGAAGCGATCGTTAATCTATTCGATGAAGTCGCTGGTGGTTCGCAATCGTAAGGGACCGGTGGCTGGTATTTATTCGTGGATCGAATCCAATAGTGTGACACTATTTTACGAGGACAATGGCCGACGGGTACAGAAAAAGTTGGACATCAATCAGATTGGCTCGGATTGGAATGTCATCGATGAATGGCTGGAAAAGATTGCCTCCTTTATGAACGACGGCAGCGGTGGCATCGGTGGTGGCATCGGTGGCCATGGCATCGATGAACGGGTCAAACAGTTACGCCATATGTTGTTGGCGTTCAAAGAGGCCCTGAATGACGAAGAATTTTTGCCACAGTTGACCGAAATCGATAAATGGATCGAAACCGATGAGTAGATCCCCACCGAAAAACCTGGCGTTTGATGAGACAGACAGACATTAAAAATATAAATTTGTTTTTTTTGTTTCTTAAATATCCCGAACTTTTACATTTAATGGACATTTATTTTTTAATAATAATAATTAATTGATTTAATTGCTATCTAATTATTGATAAACTGTTTTTTTTAAATACACTTATTGTTTTTTTATGTTGCAATAGATAGATCCCTCAAAATTTTTTAAAGTTTTTTTTTTGTTTAAATTAAATATATAATAATAATAAATTCAAAAATTATATGATGATAATAATTATTTCGATTATAATTTACACACTGATAATAATAATAATAATAATAATAATAGATTATACACTGTTTTCTTCAACAAATAAACAAAAATTGTTTTTTTTCTTCCAATAATACACTTATTATTATTATATTTTGAAATAAAATGTCTGTTTTTTGTCTCACAAAAAAAATTTGTTTTTTTTAATTTAATAGTAATAATAATAATAAACTTATTATTTAAACATTTTTTTTTGTTTGTTTTGTTATTTTTTATGGAAATTCTTCGTTCATTTGCTTTTCTTATTATAATTGTTTTTGTCGTTTAATTTAATCCTTTTTTTGTTTGTTTGTTGTTTTTCTTTGATTTAATTGTTTGGAGACTTTTTGTACGGCTTTTTCGTCTTGTTTTTGTCCGAATGTTTCTTCTTGTGAAACATTTTGTTGGCTCGACTACCGCTAGTCTGGCCTTTGTTGCTGTTGTTGTTGCGGTTGTGATGGTTGTTGTTGTTGTGGTGGCCATTGTCTGGTCGCTGATGATGATGTTTAGCAGCATCAGGCGATTCGCGAGACAACGGTTGTGCCGACGATGATGATGGTTGCGGCGCCGGCGGCGGCGGTGCCGTCAGTGCCAACATATCTGATCTACCGTGCGGTCTGTGCGCAGATGACGACGATCCTGATGTCAAATAGCGACCGCCACCCGAGTGGTGATGTCCGCCATGTCCTCCGCTGCCGTAGACATTCATACGCTGTCGAAACTCGCTGTTAAATTCGTCGGCTTCTTCCTCTTCGATGTTAATATACTCGTTGTTGTCCTCTTGTTCGCCGGTATAGTGATTGCGCGATCTTTCCATTACGTGTCCTCTGTCGGCAATATGATGACCAATAGACATCTTCTGGAGGCCAGATCGCGAATCGCGAACCGTACTGCGAGTCTCCCGTAGACCGCCGGGACCCGAATGACTCGAATGGGTCGACTCGTAGACCTGTGGCCGACCAGTAAAATCGGTGCTCATCGATACCATCGATGATGAATAGGAGTAAGAGTTTTCTGGTGTCATATGATGACTGATGGACATCGACGACGATGGAAATAGGCTGGCGCTACGAGACATCAGCTGCGACATCGGATCGACCATCGGTCCGACCATTGGCAGCGCCGGCGGCGTACCGAACGCAGGCATTAGCATATTGAACGGCGACGGACCGCCGAAAGCGTCTCTCGGCGACGGCATCATTGTGTTCATGTTGTTCATCATCGATGCCATCATTCGGTCCATTCGGCTGTCATTTTTGATGGATGGATGGCCAGAGAAATAATAAAAAACAGGGAAACTCCCGATTAGTCTCAATCATTAAACAAACAAACAAACAAAAAAATGGACACATATTTTGACGGACAACAGCCATACGCTTAGACAGACATCCAGACCGACGACAGTTGGTTTGGATGTCCACTACCGCTGACGAGTGTGTCCTCACAAACATCACTTACCCGAACATATCGTCCATATCGTTGAACGCTAGGAAAGCCATTGATTTTAATATAATATCGATATAACCTATCAATCGATCGGTGCTCTCAACTGACTTGACTGTCGTTGAAATTGATGGCCAAAACTCGGGCGATAAGTGATTGATTGACCGACAACTCAACCCGTAAACTAAACTCAAGTGGTCACCAAAAAAAAAATCGCAAATAAAACGGCAATCAATTCAAACACACAATAATAATAGTAATAATAATAATAATAATAACAACAAAACAGTGAAATTTCCAGATATTTCGCGATTATTATTATTACTATTACTGTATTATGTGTTATATGAGCTACGGGTCACTCAAATATAACGTACAATATATATATATATATATACTGTATGTGTGTAACAAATATAATATACAGTGTGTTTAGTCGAGTGTGACGTTTATACTTGTACTGTATGTATAGAGTGTACAAATCAATATAGAGTAATACTGTAATTATTATTAATTAATATTATTATTAATAATAATAATGTTACTAATTTATTAATTATATTAATTATTATTATTACTATTAATGTTACTAATTTATAAATTATTTTAATTATTATTATTATTAATGTTTACTAATTTATTAATTATTTTAATTATTATTAATGTTACTAATTTATAAATTATATTAATTATTATTATTACTATTAATGTTACTAATTTATAAATTATATTAATTATTATTATTACTATTAATGTTACTAATTTATAAATTATTTTAATTATTATTATTAATGTTACTAATTTATAAATTATTTTAATTATTATTATTAATGTTACTAATTTATTAATTATATTAATTATTATTATTACTATTAATGTTACTAATTTATTAATTATATTAATTATTATTATTATTATTAATTTTACTAATTTATAAATTATTTTAATTATTATTATTATTTTAATTTATTAATGAAATATACAACTTATCTAGTATATAATTTATTATTGTTGTCCTTTAAAAAATACATTTCATCCAATTAACCATGTACAATTCCTAAATTGGTAAGTATAGTTTTTTATATATATATATTACACTTAGTAAATATTTTTTTTGTTGGTTGTGTATTTATAGTTTTATAATTTAAGTTGAATTTTTTTTAATTATAAATCATGTACCATATTCTAGTATTGACTTTAAATTAGTCAACAATAAAAATAAATTTTTAATTAATAGTTTACTTTTTAACTTTCTAAATATTATTATATTAATATATACTAGTTTGTCCCGCGCAACATGTTTAGCTGTGCAATCCTTTTACTAATTTTAAAATATACATTATTAGTGATTTGAATGGCTGCTTAATTTCTTTTATACATTAAAATACTTAACCTAATGTAACAAAAATACTGAAAATTGAAAATTTAATCTTTTTTGCGAAAAATTTTACAAAAAGTTAGCACAGGTAGCTAACCTCCCGGTGCACTGTGAGCCATAAAATATAGCAAAATGTAGTTAGACAACACCTAACTACCTGTCCTTAAAACCTCCATGAGCTCAATAAACATTTAAAATTCCCCATAGAAATAACATTGCTTTGAATAAAAATTGAAAATATAACAATACATTTTTAGATTTGAATTAAAATATGGTTGTTGAGGAAAGGTGCCATACATAAATACAAAAATACAGAACTATTATATTAAAGTTTTATCTTGATATATATATTATAAAAATCCACTTTAAACCTGACAAATTGATAACCATACTTAATATCTATACACTGTTAACAACACACATAAACTATAACAACAATAACAACAACAAATAAATGCCCCCATAAATATTTTTGGTGTCCCCACCCCCCCTCTCCCCTTGTTAAAATTTATTTTTTTTAATTTATAGACAATAATTATTACAAAACAAATTTTTAGTTTTAGTTGAGTGACCCCATTGACACCCTAAATGTATTTAATATATATATATAATAATTAAGTAATTATTATATTATTATAAATTGTGGTTAATATGACACACACACACACACACACACACACACACACACACACACACACACACACACACACACACACACACACACACACACACACACACACACAGTATTATTATTGAATTAAAAAAAATTTTTATTGTAAATTTTATTTGTATAACTAAATAATATATATATATATATATATATAGTATATATATATATATAGTATATATATATATTTTATATATATTTGCATATGTAGTACCTTTAATATAAAATATTTTTTTTTTAAAATAAATTGCAACAAAAAATTAGGTTAAAACTTATTTGACATCTACTGTATTAATGTGTTTGATATAGGGTTGCTAATCAAGCTTTATTATTATTATTATTATTATTAAATTTAATGTATGTATCAAATTGTTTGATCTAAATATATATATAAAATAATTAAAAAATTGTTTGTCAATGAAATTTAAATTATTTAGTTTTTTTTAAATTGTTTATTTAATGATTTAATTTTTTTTAAATATTTTTTGTTGTTGTAATTTTGTTATTGACTCTAATTTAAATAACATGAATAAATAATTATTAAATTTATTTATTTATATTTATTGTATGATGATACAATTAAGTAGTACAATAAATAATATTAATAATAATAATATAACTTAATTTAATAAACAAATTGATTTTAAAAGATAAGAAAAAAAAAGATTTTATATTTAGATTTTTTTTACTATTAATAACTTTATTTTGCATTTAAATATTTGTTTGTTTATTAAATCAATTTTTATTTTATTTTTAAAACAAATTTATATTGAATTAAATTATAATTTAATGTAAATTTGTTTTTATCATTTAACATCATTATTATTATAATAACTATGACCTAACAATTTTTCTAAGTAAATAATTATTGTGTAAATATATATATAATTAATTTTCAAAATTATTTATTTATTTTGTAGTATTTATTTTTGTTTTTAAAATTATATAAATACCAAAAAAAATAACTAAAATAAATATTTTATTAGTGATTCATCACTATATTTTTTTTAGTCAAATAAAGTCATTAAGTAATAATATAATAATAAAATAAACATTATTAATATTATATATATATATATATATATACTGTATATAATAATGCTAAATATTTAAATAGGTAAATTAAGTTTACTATATATAGAGAGAAAAAAAATAATCTAGTTAATTTATTATTGCTTATAGGATCGGGGGGTCAATATCATCATAGATAGTGGGGGTCAATATCATCATAGTTAGTGGGGGGTCAATATCATTAACAGTATTATGTGGTGGTGGGGGACAGGGCAACAAAAACAGGGGGACAAAAAATACATGCAATAATACTAATGTAATAATAATACTGTAATACTAATACTATAGTATATTAGTATATACATGTATATAGCAAATATAAAAACAGGCAATTGATTTGATTTAATAAATAAATAGATAAATTGGATAAATAAAAGTTTTTCTACATTTACAGTACTAATAATACTATTAATATAAAGTACTAATAAATTATTGGTACTATAATATACTGTTAGATGATATTATTATTATTATTATATTAAATAAATGGGATCTTCAATGAAGAAAAAATATAAATTATTATTACATGTAATAATAATAACCATCGCTTAGTATATTATATATCCTTATATATACAATATATATATATACATCTAATATATCTATATATTATTATATAAAACTCCTACAAAAAGGAAGTGATGATCAAAATCTGCCCAAAAAAAAAATTATTACAAACTTGTGGTTCAATATACTTGACTTAACTTAAACACTACACTGTATTTTATAGGCTAAACAATACAATACAACCTAAACAACTAATACAGTGGTGTACAGTGTAGTGTATATAAGTGTCCGAAAATATATATACTGTACTGTATTTGAATCAATATTATAGCTTTAAGTCTATACTAAACACTCAGTAACTCAGAGACTCATTCATAGACTACAGTATATAGACTTATACTTAACTTTATAATATACAGTGTCTCTAATATATAAGTTCACTCCTTTTTCTTAAAAAAAAAATAAATAAAATATATTCCCCTTAACCACACACACAAAATAAACCTAGGACACATTTTATTTTATTAAAAATAAAAATTTAAATTTTAAACAAGCAAGCTAAAATTTTTATTTTTGTAAGCAAGGAAATTTTCTTTATTGGAGTAAACAATTTGATTATGTTGGGGGAAATTTCCTGCTATTACCACACATTAGCTCCCATAGGGAATATTCCCCCCACCATTCCCCTAGCACTCCCTCATGTAATTTCCACCAAATAATTATTATGATGTTTATTACCGATAGAGCGAGCAAGCATTGAGCGTATACTGTATGTAATAATAATAATAATAATAATAATAATAATACTGTAGTGTATTATATAGCGAGCGATACTATCGAATACTACAAATGTTTTAAATACAGTATATTCCAGATATATATATATATATTTATAATGTACTGTATTTTTAATGTGTGATTTCCAATACATTTATTATTATTATTATTATTACTACTATTACTGTATTATTAAATACTTTATATTATATTATAGTATTTGTTGTGTAAAAAAAAAATATTAAAAAACTGTTTGACATTTCACTCATTGATCACATCATATGAAAGACACAACAAAACAAACAAATACTAATCACCGCAACTGATCCGTCAAATACTGTGCTGAAGTATAGCATTAAAATCCAATCGTATTGTTGTTGGACATCATCATCATCTGTGTGAAGGACATCATCATCAGTGTATCGACTCATATGACTGTGCCGTCAAAGACATGTAATGCGTGGTAACTGTTGTCGTCCACGGATTGGTCGTCAATATTTGGATGATGTCCTCATCGGGTGGCGGCGGTGGTGCCAATAGTAAGGCTCCCTATTATTATGGAGAACTGGTCAAGAAGGATAGTACAACGGGAGCGACAACTATTGTGGCCGCTGGTAGTGGTGGCCAACAGAGTGTGGTGATTGGCGGCGGCAGCAGCAACAGCAGCGTCGGTACCAACAGTGCCATCATAGCCAATGCCATCAACAATAATAGCAACAACAACAACAACAATATCATTACATCAGCAAACAATGTCAATCATAACATCAACTTAAACAACAACAACAACAATCAGTTAAGCCATTCGTCGACAATCGCAGACTCGCTGACAATGACCGCCAATCATCAGACATCAATTATTTCGGCCTCCGATGACTACGGCTACAGTCTTGGTGGTGGCCGTTCAGCGTCACGATGTTCACAATCATTGTCCAGACCGTCCAGCAGTAGCGCCAACATATCATCGCACAGTCTACTCATGAGTGGCTCTCAATCGCACTACGGTATTGCCAATCTGTTGGCTGCCAATAATAATAGCAACGGTTCAACTAATAACAGCTACAACAACAACAACAACATGTTGTCGGCATCGCAACAGATAACATCGTTTGCCAATCCATTGTTGGGCATAGAGGCCGATACCAGACACGGCGGTTCAGAGAGTTTACCCAGAAATTTGCAGCCAATTTCAAGCAAAAAGCCGAATCTATTTCAGAAACAAAGTCACCAAAAACAAGGCATTTATCAACGATCGCTATCGCTGTTCGCCAATGGTGTCAGTCCGTTGCTGAGGAAGAAAAAATCTAAAGCAAACAATAACTCAAACAATGCCAACAACAACAACAACAGTAACAACTGTACGTCAGCAACAACGACGACAACAGGAGGAATGATGGCTACTATGGCCGGTATGAATAGCGCCAACATTACCGACAATGAACTGTTGAATGTTGTGACCGGTACGGCCAGTTTGGCCAGACGTCGCCGAAAATCTGAACCGATTATGTTTAGCTACGATTCGATTACTAATGAAATCAGTCGACTTCAGCAACGACAGGAACAAATACTCGAGAATCTCAATCTAGATTTTGAGACAATGCTCATGAATGACGCCAACGCTGGTCTATCGTTATCGGCCAACAATAGCAATCACGGCGGCTCGTCGTCGCTTAATAATATATCCCCGAACTCTAACGGCAATAACAACAACAATGGTGTCGGCGGCGGTGATTATGGCCGAACCATACAGTCGTCGGCGGGGACGACGACCTACAAAGAACCGTTTTATATGCTATACGAAGAATCGCATCGAAACAATCGGGCCGAAGATAACATCTACGAAGAGATTGATTTTTTGACCTTATCGTCACTGCGGGCCCAATACGCCGACACATTGAGTTTGCAGAGCTACAAGAAAAAAGGTGGCGCCAAACGATCGATGGGTTCATCCAGTTTTACCCGATGGTTCTCAACCAGGAAGAAGTCGTCGCCGACATCGATGAACAGTGAAGACGAAAATCCTTATATTGATATTAAGATATCGAAGAAACAAAGGCCACCGATTTGTTTGCCAGAAATTCCGCCACAGGGTCTGACTCAGGAGCAGCTAAAACGAAGATATATAATCGGTTCGATTGTCGATTCGGAAAATTCGTACATCAATTCATTGCAACGTATTATTGCCGAATACAAGAAACCGTTGGAGGAATCAAATCCAACCATTCTTAGCCAAAACAAGATTAATACGATTTTCCATCGATTGGAACAAATACTACAATGCCATACGATATTCGGTATTGCGTTGAGTCAATGTGTCCGCGAATGGGACGACAAAGAACGTATCGGCGATGTCTTCATTGCATCGTTTTCGAAATCAATGGTTTTGGACATCTATTCGGATTTTATTAACAATTTTACTAATGCTATGGAAACGGCACGCAAAGCATCGAAGTCTAAGTCTTCGTTTGCCCAGTTTTTGCGCGACAAATCGCTCTCTAGTCCCGATCGGCTGTCGTTTTTCGGTCTAATGGTAAAACCAGTGCAACGATTTCCCCAATTCATACTATTGTTGAGCGATCTGTTGAAACATACACCCGGAGAACATCCCGATCGGATGTCGTTGCAGTTGGCACTGACACAACTGGAATCGCTGGCCGATCGCTTGAATGAACGCAAACGAGATGCCGAACGACATTTTGCTGTCAAACAACTACTTAAAGACTATTTAAGTAATTCGACCACCAATTCGTCGCATCGGTTCCTACTGCGTCAGGACGATGTCTATCAATTGGATTTGGACGCCAGTACTGGTCTGGTTATGAAAACCAAATGCCGAAAACTATACTTATTGAACGATATGTTGGTCTGCGTATCGGTTCCGGCCAATCGACTCAAGTTTGCCGTCTCTTTACAAGACGTCGATGTTATCGATGACGTAACTCCAGCAACCAATAACCTCATCGCCAACTCATTGCTGAGAACGAAAGGTTTGTTTAGTTTTGTTTTTTGCATTTTTTTAATATTCAAAGACAGTTCTGTGGATCAGTTTTTTAATGACACCACTTGTTTCCCTATCAATCAAAACAGATGCTTCTGCCGCTTCATCACCAAAGCATTGTTCTGTCGAAAGAATGTATTGTGATTTAAATAATTTGATCCACGATCTGGAACTGATGAGCCGTATAACAAATTTGGTATCGACTTTGCGCTACCAATACAATGGGCTGTCTATCGAACTAACCGAACAGATTAGTACAGAAATTCGGGAAGAAATTCGCCGAAAAGATGCACAAATAACACTTATTGATAAAAGTTGTCTACAATTGAGAATCAGATCGAAGAACTACAAAGATATTATCTGTATACAGATGTCGGATCCAGAAGTCAAACGCGATTGGCTTATTGATGTACGACTGGCCAAACTGGCCTTAGATAGGGCTAACAATCCGGCCTGGGATGTGGTTACCGAAAGTATATCTTCATCGACAAACAATATCAATGCAATAGTTCCGCATCGCGTACCACTGTTTGTCAAATCATTGCCAATATTTGCTACCAGTGACGGCTCGCAACTGATCTGTGCTCTTCATTACAAACATTTCCGTGGCGGAGGCGGCGTCGGAGGTGTCGGTGCCGACGGTCTAGCACTCGACATGGATACCGGTGTTCTCTGGATCTGCAACGTCAACGAAAGCGGCTCCCAATTGGGCGCCCTGTCCACCAACGGTGCCGATATCAGTCTTATCCATTCCTATGAATTATGTGATTCGCACGTAACCTGTATCGAATCGGTCGGTTCCTATTCGGTATGGATCGGCCTACGCCAGGGCCGTATCATTGTCATCGATGCCAACTCGCCGGCCGAATGGCAACAGTTTGCCGCTTTGGACGTGGCCTGCGAGGTGACCTGTATCAAACATTATGGCCAGTATGTTTATGTCGGTCTGATCAACGGTTTGGTGGCACTGTTCAATGCTACACACTATGAGGAACCGATTATATTGACGTTAACCCAGTGTCCGGTTACCTGTTTGTTGCCGATCAACGACGATGTGTTTGCCTGTTCGGGCGACAAGATCTGGATCATCAGCGGCGTAGAAGTTACCCGAAGCTATTCGCTACAAATTGCCGACGACGACGATGAAGATGTTTGTCTGAGTATTGACGATCAGATGCGACCTAATCTGTTAGCCCATTGCGGTATTGGTCTGTGGGTCAGTCTGGTTGATTCATCCATCATCAAGTTGTTCCATACGGAAACGTTTAAACATTTACAAGATCTGAATGTTGCCTCAAATGTCAAACGAATATTGAACGAAGGATCCGATGTTATTATTACCGTAACGGCAATGTTGGCCACTCGTGGCCTACTATGGGTGGGAACCAATGTCGGCGTGATAGTGACCTTGACTCTGCCCCGTTTGCAAGGAGTACCGCTTGTATCCGGCTGTCTGAATGTTGCCCTACATCGACATATCGGTCCGGTAACCATATTGTTGAGTCTGAGTACGGGAGCCGAGTGTCCAAATTCGCCCCAATCGGCCAGCAATCAGTCGAATAAGTCAAACAGGGATACAGTGGATACGAAAAATGAAGATGTCGAATCCATTTATGGCCTGTACTCGGATCTGCTCAATGTTGGCGACTATGTCGGTATGCGTCGGCCGTCGCACAACATAACCACTACGAAAATGGCGTGGGATTTGTCTAATATGAACATATCGGATGATTCGACATCCGAGAGTGCATCGAGCGGTGCCATCTATCACGACGGTAGCCAACAACAGCGGCCGCTGTCTGGCCATCAGCCGAACAGCCATAATGCCAATAATCTGGTGTCGCTGACACCCGACGAGGCCGGCGGCGGCGGCAATGTTAACAATAATAAACGCAATCACATATACGAAACCGGCAGCGGCGGCGGCGGTGGATCCAATCTGAGCTCTAGGACAGCATCGACGGCCCGGCTCACCAGCAATATATACGACTGCGCCAAATCGCCCGTACCGTGCGGTTCGGGTGGTGTTGGTGGTGGTCATCCGCAACTACAGCAGCAGCAGCTGCTGCCGCCGAGGTCGGCACGGGACCAAATGATGCCAATCTATGATACGACGCCTCCGAACATGGTCAGCGGCGTCGGAACCGTCACGGGCGGCGGCGCCGGCAATAGCAAAACGGCACTACTGTTGACGGGAGGAAACGGCTACAAAAGGGGAACACTAAGCGATACCCCTTATTCATCACTACACGCCCATTGTATTGTATGGGAGTATAAATTATAATTAAAAATTTATATATATAAAAAAACTTAATTAATACCGTAATTATATATTGAAAACAAAATAATTAATTTAAAAAATATTAATTAATTAATTAGCCGATAAACATGCAGTAAAAACCATTTACAAAGTGTTTTTCTCACAGACAGACAATATATATATATACAGTATATTAAAAAAAATAATAGCATTTTTTTAAAACAACAATCATTTCATTTGACACATACATACATACAAAAAAATCATTGTCTTATTTTCATTAATATATAATTATACAAAATATATATATACATATATTTTTTTTTAATTTTCATTAATTAATTAATTTTAGTTTTTACACACATATCACACAAACAAATATGATATATATATACACAAACATATACACACAAAAAACCTATGCATTTAATTGCATTTTATTTGATTAATTGATTGATTTTCTTAATATTTTAATTTTTTTATAATTTTATTTTTGTTTGTTTGTTTGTTAGTTTTTTTTTTTTGATAAAAACTCTGTAATTATTATTATTATTAGCTGTAATTGTGATCCAAACCTTAATATATAATATATATTTTTTTGGAGACCTATACCCCCCCCCAACTTGCGAATAATGTTTTAAAATTATTATTATTATTATTATTAGTAATATTTTGAAAGATTTTATATCGGATTTTTTTTGCATATATATATTTATAACAAGTTTTTTAAACTTTACAATTTTTTGAATTATTATTAGTATTATATAATTATTATAATTTAAAAATTACAAACAAAAAACACAAAAAAAACAAATTGCTAAGCAATAGATGATTAATATTATTATTATTATTGTATATAACGGATAGCTTTAATTTAAATTTTAATAATAATAATAACTATTATTACTTAAAATGATATAATTATTTAATTAATTAAATATACAGTATATATATAAATATAATTCTAATAATAATAATAATGTCATAACTTTTTCTATAAAAATTAATTAATTAATTTCGAAATAAAAATCAAATTTCACACCAAAAAAATAATAAATTATTATTATTAATAATAATTAAACAATTGATTGATTACTACTACTACTACTACTACTTATATATGATATTACTATTTAAAAAAAAATAAAACATTATTTGTTTGACCATTGATTCAAATCCGTTTGCAATTGATTGACGGCAAACCCGAAACCGGTACCCAAACCGAAAACCATTGGCCAAACGCGTCGCCTAAATATTAGCACCGAAAATACAGTGCCGACCGCCAGACCAGTGCCTATATATCATATATGATAATCGGTTAGAAATATGGACATTGAAATTGGTGTGTAATTTTTCGCGCAGGTCCCGAAACACAGTAGGTACGGGTAATATCATACTGTACTAACCCATTTTGAGGGCCGAATTGGCCGCAAATTTATCCCAACACCGGCCCAACTGGTCCTCGGACTTGATTACCGCCGCTGTAGTTGTGTGGACACTCATGACTTGCCGATATCCCGTGTGTGTGGACAAACAAATTTCGGGAATTATTAAAAAAAACTATAGTTCAAAATCACTGGACAATTCAATTACCCGATTGTTGTTAAAAATTATTATTATTATTATTATTATTGCATTGAAATTACAGTACAATTAATAATAATAATAATAATAATATTGAAATAGCAAACAAAATTTTTTTCTTTATTCACAAATAACAGTACAGTTATATATATATAAAAAAATTTTAATAACTATCATTATATTTATATTTAATATATAGTAAAAACACTGTAAAACAAAAAAAAGTATTACAACCCCAACACATATAATAAGTGTAACGTTATTTGTGTACCAAATATATCGTTATGTTATTATTAATACAGTATTAAAGTATGTGTTGTATTGACGACACGTTTTGTATTTTATTATTTTGAATTCATATTCACTATTGATTTCAATGGTAAATGTGATGCAATCGATCAGTTAGTTTACCACAAGATTTTTGTTGTTATATCAGTGGATCAGCTATAAAGTGATAGTCTTAAGATAAATATCTAATCATTGAAATACAATGCCCACAATCAACATCAATAGGGATCTATTGTTTCAACGATTGGGACAAGTCTTCAGTAAGTTGTTGTTGTCGTCGTCGCTGTCTTTTGTCTTAAGTTTTTTTCATTTTAATCATTCATTTTATGACATCTGTTGTCCTATTTTTTCCTTAATTTTAATTCACAGCTGAAGATGAGTTCAATGATCTTTGTTTTGATTTTGGCATCGAATTGGATGAAGTGGTAAGTCATTAGAAGTGGATGAAGTGGTTGTTGTGTTTGTTGTTATCAAATTATAATTGATTTTATTTTTTATTTTTTGATGGTTATTATGATTTATGAAGACATCGGAGAAGCAAATCAAAGCCAAAGAACAGGGAACCGATCGGGCAAAAGGCGCCTCAGAGGATGTCATCTACAGGATTGAGATACCGGCCAATCGGTTAGTTAGTTATCATATAAAAGACATTACCTTTTTTTTAACCGTTGAAGAAATTTTTTGATACTAAATATTTTGACATATTTTTGTCTTCACGCCACCCGATTAGGTATGACCTGCTCTGTGTCGAAGGTCTTACCCGAGCGCTTCTCATATTTCTGGGAAAGTGAGTGAATCCAATTCAATCAATCAATTGATTCAATTCAATATACAATATATCTTTGATTTGAAAAAAACAGATCTGAAATACCAGAGTATCGATCGGTTAGGCCATCGAAAGGAGAGTTACAACAGTTGATTGTATTGCCAAACGTATGACACATATCTCTTAAATATTTGTGATGCCAAACCACTTTCTCACTGATGATGACTAATGACTTTTTGATTGATTGATTTGTTGTCATTGATTCAGACAATGCAGGTGAGACCCTTTGCTGTGGCAGCTATTCTTCGAGGAGTAAAATTCAATCAACAAATTTATGATAGTTTTATTGATTTACAAGAAAAACTTCATCAAAACCTTTGCAGGTATTTTGTTTTTTTGCTCAATTGAATACACCGATGATTATCATAATTATCATTACCAGAAAACGAACTCTGGTAGCTATCGGTGCCCATGATTTGGACAAATTGAAGGGTCCCTTCTATTATGACGCCCGAGTGCCCAATGATATCAAATTCAAACCGTTAAAACAGACCAAAGAGTATACGGCCACACAACTGATGGACTTATATCAGGTATTTTGTTTGTTGAGGAATAGGATGGAAGTTGTCTTTGAAATTATCAGTAATTTATTTATTTAATTATTTTTGTTGTTGTTGTTGTTGTATTAGACGGACGACCATTTGCGACCATTTCTGCATATTATTAGAGATAGTCCCGTATATCCAGTAATTTACGACCAAAACAATGTCATACTATCGATGCCTCCCATTATCAATGGTTTGTTTGATAGATGAAATTTTTTTTTTAGTTTTTTTATCTTAATTTTTATAATTTATCGGTAATTATTTTTTACGGTATATACTGTATATATATAATTAGGTGATTATAGTAAAATAACATTGAATACGGAAAACATATTCATTGAGATGACAGCAACTGATCTAAATAAAGCTAAACTATGTTTGGATACATTTGTTTCAATGTTTAGTGAATATTGTGAACCAAAGTTTACGTAAGTTTTTTTTTAATTAAAACAATAATTATTATTCAAAATTTAATACAATTTTTTTTTTAAAAAAACATTAATTTGTTGTCAACAAAAAACTAGTGTGGAAAGTGTTGAAGTAACCCATTCCGATACATCCCGTACCGTATATCCCGTTTTGAACTATCGTGAGGAGACTATTACTGTTGATTATGTCAATAGCCATTTGGGCATAAAGTATATTATTATTATTTTTATTTAATGATAATTTATATTTTATTAGTAATATCGGTAACTAATTTTTTTGTTTTGTTTTTTTAAAGACAAACTCGGGAACAGATTGCCGTTTTACTCAACCGTATGAGTTTGGGCGCCGAACTGCTTGATGACCAGCGATTGAAAGTACGAATACCGCCCATACGTCAGGACATACTCCATGCGTGCGATATTCTCGAAGATGCGGGCATTGCCTACGGTTACAATAACATTGAGTTTACAATACCGAAAGCCCAGACCATCGGCCACCAGTACTTTCCCAATAAGGTGTCCGATCAGCTCCGGAATGAGATCGCCCGATGCGGTTATACCGAAGTTCTTACCTTTTCGCTGGTATGTCTGTGTGAATACACCTAATTTTTTGGTAATATATATATATATATAACTGATTATAATTTTTTTAATATTGTTTTAGTGTTCTCGCGATGACATTGCCGACAAAATGCGACGAAAGGATGCTCTCGCAAAGGCCGTCCACATAGCCAACCCAAAGACACTGGACTTTCAAGTGGCCCGAACCTCCCTATTGCCCGGACTGCTCAAAACGTTATACTCTAACAAAAAAGTAGCCTTACCTTTGAAAATATTCGAAGTTTCCGATATAGTACTCAAAGATAATAACCAAGGTATGAATTTTTAATGGGCGTGGGGTAGGGGGGGGGAGTGTCGGATAGTTATATGATTAAAAATTTATTAATATTTATCTTTACGGTATTTTTTTGTTTCAGAGGTCGGCGCCCGAAATGAACGCTATTTGGCTGCCGTTTACTATAACAAAACGCCCGGTTTTGAGGTAATTCACGGACTAATGGACCGAATACTACACGTACTGGAGATTCGTTTTAATCCACTGAAGACAGGCGACGGATATTTTATCCGTTCGGCTAATGGTTTGTAATTTATTTTGTATTTGAAATTTTTTACGGAAATAATTATCGGTTATATTATTGTTTATCCCGAAAATTGATAAATAGATTCCCGTTTTCTATCCGGCCGTTGTGCCGAAGTGGTGGTCAACAATAAGGTGGTCGGAATAATGGGTGTTTTGCATCCGGAAGTGATTACTAACTTTGATTTAGTACAGCCGTGCTCTGCATTGGAGCTATCATTGGAAAGTCTAATTAAAATGGATTATTAATTTATAAGAAGTTTTTTTTATTAAAAAAAATTATATAACTATTAATTTTTTAAAAATAATTATTGACCAATAAATTTAATTATTATTATTTATACTGTATTATTGAAAATAGATTTCTAAATTAATAATTACAACAACAACAAAAAACATACTATTATTAATTGATTATTATTTTAAAACTATATTTAGTATATAATTTTTTGCTGTTGTTTTTTTTGTGTGGCTATAAGTTATGAATTTTGGTATTGATTTTATACAAATTTTTTTTTTAGTATGATTTAGTTTTATTTCATAAATTTATATAATATTTATTTATAGATATCTTTACCGTATGTGTATAAGTATAAGTACTGGTAAGTTATAAACTCATTGTATATTAAATATTTAAATATTCACCAAAAAAAAAGTTTTATCTATTTTATGAATAATAAATTTTTTTAAAATTTTTTATTATACATATCATAATCCTTTAGTATTAAAAAAATATTTTTTTTATACTTATAGTATTGATATATACTGTATTTAAACAATTTATAAAAATAATATAATAGCTAAACTATAGTATACTCTATTAGATATCTGGTTTATTTAAGCTAATAATAATTTAATTATTTTTTCTGTAAGTTATTATAAGTTAATTGAATAGATATGTAATATTCCTATACTAAAGTACTGTAGTAGTAGTAGTAATAGCACCGATATTGTAATTTACACCATAGTAGTGATGCCGGCTTTTTTGTTGTTGTTGTTGTATTTTAGTTAATACTGTACCCATAATGTGCAACAATTTTTATTATTATCTTATTAGTTGTTTGTTTGTTTTCTTGTTATTATTGATCGCAATGTTTCAGATCATAGACGTCATCAGAGAACTGGTAGACACTGTTTTATGTTAGGTGTTGTTGGTGTTGTTGGTGTTGATGGTGTTGATGGTGTTCCCATATATACAGTATATACTGTACTCTAATACTTAATATATGGTAATAAACATATAGTATATTGTCTGCGAAGTCTTATATATTGCTATATACTGTATGTGAATGCTATCTAACACTCTCTACTCTCTCTCTCTCTCTCTCTCTCTCTCTCTCTCTCTCTCTCTCTCTCTCTCTCTCTCTCTCTCTCTCTTTGCTATCGATTTTTATTATTTCAATGGTGTGTATTGTATTGTTTTTCTCTCATTGGCCGACAAACTATATATACGCTATCAAACCAAATAAGAGTGTAACATATTTTGTAACCAAAAAATACATTAAAAATCATTTATTATTGTTTTTAATTGTTTTTCTCCCTATTATTATTAATATTCATAATTATTCATTCATGTGATAACTGTTGTTATAATTTAGCTAATTATCAAAGCAAACCATTTGTTGTTTTTTAAATAAATATATATATATTCATCATTTTTTTTGATTATAATCATTAGTTTCTCTCATTTTTGTGAAGCCATTTATATTTGTATATATATATACTGTATGTATTGATATATATAAAAATATTTTAGTCATAATGTGAGTATAAAAAAACATTTTTCTTTGTTTTTGTTTTGTTATATTTATTTTAATGCCTATTCCTCTCTATCTTTCACTCTCTATTGACTATTAGTATTATTATGTTTTATTTGAACAATCATTAATTGTTATTTTATTATATATATTTTGTTATATGTATATATGTTTTTTATTATTGCTTTATTTTTATTATTACTATCCATTTAATCCATACATTCACACAAAATTGTTAACCATTTAGTAGTTAGTAGAGTACAGTTAGCATACAATACAATACAATATGTTATGCTATTTATGTCTATCCTCTAAATATGGAGTCTTGCAGTGAAAACATTTTGCCGTTATTTTTCAATTTATAAAATAAAAACTAAAAATAATAACTTATTTTTCATTAGATATAATTAAAATTTATGTTTAAAATTCACTGACATTTAAAAATATATCATTTACTTAGTCTACATATATAGATAGTCACACTCTCTATCTCTATTTGCTATCAAATATATATATATTTGACTATATATATTAATTATATATTAATTTATATATATATATAAAACTAATTGTATTAATAATTTCTAATGTTTTTTTTTGTTTGTTTCTTATTTCTATTTAATTTTACAGAAATTTTTGAAAAAAATCATATAAGATATAAGTGATATATACCATAGGATATTAGCAATTTCTACAAAATAATAAAAATATTAGTAAATTATTAAAATTATTATTGGATTCAATAAGCAATTATTTAACTTCTGAAATATATATATATAAATACATAATATAACACCGAGGATGTCGTCGGTAAAAGTGGCAGTCCGTGTCCGGCCATTCAATAACCGGGAATACAGTTATAATTGTAAAAACATTATCTCGATGTCCGGTCAGACAACAAGTATGTTAATTAAAAATATTGTTTGTTTTTTAATAAATATATTTATTATTATTATATATATTGATATATTGCTAATTATAATTTAATTTATAATTTATTAATCAATCAAAACAAATAGCGATATCCAATCCAAAGATTGCCGACTCGTACAAGACGTTTACCTTCGACTATTCTTACTGGTCGTGCGACCCGTCGGATCCCAATTTTGCCGACCAGACCACTGTCTACAGGGATATCGGCGAAGAGATGTTGGCCCATGCCTTCGAAGGCTATAATGTCTGTATCTTTGCCTACGGTCAGACCGGTGCCGGTAAAAGCTATACAATGATGGGCAAACAAGATGGCGACGAAGGTATTATACCGCATATATGCAAAGATCTGTTCAATCGGATCCAGTGCGACGACAACGACCAAGTGATGTATTCGGTTGAGGTGTCGTATATGGAAATCTATTGCGAACGGGTCAGGGATTTGTTGAATCCGAAGAATAAGGGTGCGCTACGGGTCAGAGAGCATCCGGTACTCGGACCCTATGTCGAGGATTTGTCAAAGTTGGCGGTCACTGCTTACGAAGATATCCGTGATATTATGGACGAAGGAAACAAAGCCAGGTATGAGATGAGATGAGAGGACATATGAATTGGATTCAATTGATCCAAAATTTGATGATAATATATATATATATTGTTTTGTCGGTAATCTCTTAACTCTTTCCTAATTTTTTTTTGTCTTTCTAAAAGGACTGTCGCCTCGACTAACATGAATGAGACCAGTAGTCGATCGCACGCCGTCTTTACCATAATATTTACTCAGCTAAGGGAAGACCAGATGACTGGGTTGACCAGCGAGAAGGTCAGCAAAATATCGTTGGTTGACTTGGCTGGTATGTGGGAGGGGGTGGGATAATGAGATGGGCTAATCAATTGCTATTTTGATATATATAGTCTAATGATTATTATTTTTGTTTATTATTATTAAAGGCTCAGAACGAGCTGATGCTACGGGTGCTCAGGGAACGAGGCTTAAGGAAGGTTAGACTAATTATATACAGTATAATGATTTTTATTTATTTATTTATTATTATTGTTGTTGTTTTTATGTTATATTAAACTTTTATACTGTATATATATTGTTTAATTTTATTGCCATAATATTTATTTAATACTATATATATCTGATATATAATATGTTTTTTTGTTTGACTTTTTTTTGCTAAAAAAAGGAGCAAATATTAACAAATCGTTGACAACATTGGGAAAAGTGATATCAGCTTTGGCTGAAATAGTAAAGTTTTTTTTTGAATTATTTATTATTATTTTGGCGATAACTTATTGAATATACAGTATATTATGTTTATATTAATATACAGTATATAAAATTTATTCAATAAGTTATCGCCAAAATAATAATATATTAATGTATATATAAATATTATATAAATATTTGTTTTTCTTTGTTATTATGCATTACATTATATATATAATACGTTTTGTGATTATCAGTCGGTAAGTAAATCATTTAATATATAAATTTGAAGAAAACATATATAAATTATATATTTATTTTGATATCGATTTAATTTTAAATTTTTTTTTTGGTTGTTTGTTATTGAAGGCAATGAAAAAGCGAAAGAAAGCCGATTTTATACCCTATCGTGACTCAGCCCTAACTTGGCTTTTACGGGAAAATTTAGGTTTTTAACTAATTTTTGTTTTAAAAAAAATATAATACACTATAAAAAAATAAAACAATCAATTTTATTAATCATTCAAAATTTGCTTAACAAAAACTCCTCCTCCCCCCGCAATACCCACCCACCCCACCCCCCGAAACCATACTTATCTACCGATACTTATCTACCGATACTTATCTACCGATACTTTACATTATATTATTAGGCGGAAACTCTAAGACAGCAATGATTGCGGCACTGAGTCCGGCGGACATTAATTTTGAAGAAACACTGAGTACTCTCCGATACGCTGACAGAGCCAAACAAATTGTCTGCAAAGCCATCATCAACGAAGACGCCAACGCAAAGATCATACGCGAACTTAAGGATGAAATTTCAAGACTCCGATCGCTGTTGCGTAGCGAAGGTATAGATCTGGAGGAAAATGGTTCGTCGATTTCGGTTCAGACGGCAGCCGATGTCAAGCGGCGAAGCGGTTCCGTATCCATTGTCAGCGAGAATGCCATCGAACAGCTACAGGAAAGCGAGAAACTGATGCTCGAGTTGAACGAAACGTGGGAACAAAAACTAAAGAAAACGGAAGTCATACGCATTCAACGGGAGGCAGCACTGGCCGAGATGGGAGTGGCCACCCGTGAGGATGGCGACGCTGTCGGTGTTTTCTCGCCCCGCGAAACACCACATTTGGTCAACTTGAACGAAGATCCGCTGATGTCCGAGTGTCTCATCTATTACATCAAAGATGGATTCACTCGAGTTGGCCAATCAAATGCCGACATTCCTCAGGATATCAAACTGAACGGAACGTTCGTAATGGACGAACACTGTATCTTCGAGAACCGGAACAGTCGGATAACATTGATTCCGTGCAAACAGTCCCTGTGCTTTGTTAATGGCAAACAAGTTGATCGGCCCATCGAAATCAGAACCGGTTCCCGAGTAATACTTGGCAAATATCATGTGTTCCGTTTCCAGCATCCGACTCAGGCCCGCGAAAATCGTGACCGTAGCCGATCTCCCTGTACGGAACAACCGCCACCCGGACCCTTGCAAGCAGTCGACTGGACCTATGCTCAGATGGAACTGTTGGAAAAACAGGGAATCGATCTGAAACAAGAAATGGAACAAAAACTGATAGTAATGGAGGAACAGTATCGCAAAGAGAAGGAAGAAGCGGATCAGCTGTTCGAAGAACAACGAAAAACTTACGAACAAACCATTGAACGTTTGCAAAAACAAGTTAACGAACAGTCGATGACAATGTCGTCGATGTACGCGTCGACAGTGTCGTCGATGACCACAAACAATGACAAACTGCTGGCCGATGACGATGTCTTTGGTGTCGACGATGACGGCGGCGGTGTTGGTGGCGGTGACGACTATGTCTGGACGGATCGGGACATTGAAATTGCTCGAAGAGCGGCCAAAAAGTGGAAATACCATCAGTTTACTAGTCTTCGCGATGACCTATGGGGTAACGCCATCTTTCTCAAGGAAGCCAACGCCATATCGGTTGAACTGAAAAAGAGAGTACAGTTTCAGTTTGTTTTGCTAACGGATACCATGTATTCGCCGCTACCGCCGGAAATGGTCAACAATTTCCAAGAGGTTCACTTGAGCGTAGTCGACGTCGACGACCAACTGCCAGCCGACGAACGGCCATTTCCGCGGACAGTGGTTGCCGTCGAGGTTACCGACTTGAAGAACGGCGCCACACATTACTGGTCGCTCAACAAACTGAGGTCAGTGTGTGTCCACTAATTTTCGGCATTTTTTATTGTTGTTTTTTTTGTTGTTTGAACTGTATATTAGTTTGCATTTTATTTTTAATATTAATTTTATTTTATTAATTTTTTTTGTTATTATTATTTTAACGATTTAGTAAATTGTAGACAAAGAAGATTTTTTTTGTTGATATTTATTTTTACTAGAATTATATTATTAGAAAAAAATTATTATTTATTTAATTATTTAAAATTTTTTTTTGCTCCTCTAAAAGCTACTTAAGACTTATATTACTTGTAAATTATATATATAAATAATAAGTACAGTATTAAGTTATGTGTAATCCCTGTGCTCACAGTGTGTACCGGTATGTGTGTGTATTTAATACAGGCATAAGCTCCAGAAGCCTATCCAGAAGCTAATCTTATTTAATATTATATATAATCTGCTTATTTAAGTGATAAACAATGACAAAAAAACAATGAAAAATCTTTGAGTTATAAATTACAATGTATTTAATACATCCAACAGTTGGCAAAAATCATTTTGAATTTAATGAATTGCTTATTAATTCAAAAGATTATTCCGTTTTTTTAAAGAATATTCTTTGTCTGCAATTATTATTTAATATTATTATTATTATTTCGTTTTGCTTTTTGTCTTGTAATTATAAAATTACTATTGATTTTTTAATGGACACACAAACAAACACCACCACAAAAAAAACTGTGTAAATGTCTTATCCATTCCCTCTCTCCCCTCTTCTCTACCATCTCGACAGACACCGTCTGGAGCTTATGCGACAAATTTATTACAACTATTCTGTTGAGCCGACAAATAGCGACTATTTGCTAAATTGTCTGACAATTGCGGCCGAAAAACTCAGAAGTCCTGTGTTTAGTGAAGACAGGTCTCTAAAAAAATAAATATTTATTAGGATTTTTATAAAAATAAGATAATTAAGATAAATATCACCATTAATTTGATCCATTGTTTTTTAAAAATAATGATTTCTAACATTCAAAGTGATAATTAGTTTTCCTGTATATTAAACAACAATTTTTTTTTGTATTTATTTATTTTTTTTAGGCAACGCTTGGAAGCGATGCGCGAAATGTATAGAAACGATGAGACAAACATTTCGCCGCAATCGCCGACCGAATGCTCGCTTATGGAGTCCACTTCAGGCGGTGACCCGTTTTACGACCGGTTTCCATGGTTTCGTTTGATTGGCCGAACCTATGTTTATCTATCCAATCTATTATATCCGATCGGTGTCATCCAAAAGGTTCCCATTGTCAACGAAAAAGGTGATATCAAAGGCTACCTCCGAGTGGCCATCCAGTCGGTAACGGCCGATGAAGAAGAACAAGTGATGATGAGCGGCGGCGGCGGCGGCGGTGAAAATTCTTGTGCAATAAGACAATCGGCGCGAATCAACTTCGACGACACGGATGAAGCCCTGATAAAGATTGACAGAAAATACAGATTACAAGAAGCAGCCAATTCGTTGTTTACATCCTCGTCGTCGTCGACATCGATGGCAGCCAACCAGATAACCGATGGACTGACCACCGATGACCAACAGAACAACAACTATGAACTTAATGTCGAATACGATTCAAATCAGCAACTGATTGGCCAACACTTGTTGCCGATCGTTGGTGGCGGCGGTGGTGGTAAAGAGTTTACATTTCGGGTAACAATACTACAGATATCGGACATCAGTAAAGATTACGGGGATATCTTTTGTCAGTTTAATTTTCTTCATCGACACGACGAAGCATTTAGCACTGAACCCATCAAAAATACGGGTAAAGGTCCGGCACCCGGTTTCTATAGGGTCCAGAATATTACCGTCGCGGTTACCCAATCGTTTGTCAACTATTTGCGTACACACCCACTGGTCTTCGAGCTGTTTGGTCACTATCAACAACATCCGCTGCACAAGGAGGCCAAAGATGATCGCGATCTGATTGTTGTCCAACAAAATATGTAAGTATTTTGTTGTTGTTGTTGGGCTGGGAGGGTAAGGGGTAGGGAACCTCCTCTCACATAAAATATTATTATAACTGTTAGTCTAGTACTGTAATTATGCAATTGTTTGAAATGGGAAATATTTTTGTCCTCCCATATTAGCAACTATAACATATAAACTTTAACTTAAACTTTAACTATAATATAGTTAGTATATTACAGTATATTAATAAATAAGATAAAGTTACTAAAAAACTATTAAAAAATAATCTATAAATTATTTATAATAGTGAAATTAATTAACATATTTTTATTGTTAAACTCATGTATAACTTACAAAAAAAATATTATTAATTACCGATAGATTAGTTTAGTAACAAAAAAAATTAATAAATCATGAATACATTCAAAGTAACTATACTTTTAGTCAAAATATATAAACTATATATAATTACACAGAATATAAAATATATGTATAATTAATAATTAACATAATATTTATCATCCGATCCGATAATAGAGTATCGCGTCCACCGCCGCGCCATATGTTTCCCCAATCGGTTCCCATATCGTTGCCAATCAGATCCCAAAAGTTTTCCTGTCTGTCACCGTCGCCCAGTACTGCACTGGTCTACTCCAAGTACGACCTACTCATTTGGATGGAAATCTGTGAACTCGGTTCCTCTGGTGACTACATCCCCGTAGTGGTCGACCATCACGACGACACCCCATGCAGGGGAACCTTTCTGCTGCATCAGGGTATCCAACGTCGACTTCGGGTAACCATTGTCTACGAACCCGACCAGGAAGTCGGTTTCAAAGACATACGCGAAGTGGTTATCGGCCGAATTCGTACGCAACCCGATTGTCCCGATAATACCGATGACGACGACGACCCGTCCATCATATCGTTGGGTTTGTTTGGCGGCGAATATCTGGAAAAATTGAACAATCGATGTGTCTATCGGTTTGAGGCCGCATGGGATACATCATTACATAATTCATTGCTATTGAATAGGGTTACCCCGTATGGGGAACGCATATATCTAACTGTTTCATCATATCTAGAGGTAAATCCTATTTTTATTTATATATAATTTTACATATACTGTACTATATTGTATATACCTATATATAAATATATATATATATATATAATTATTGTCTCATTAATTTAAATAAATAAATAAAAAATTCTAGATAATTAAATTAAATTAATGTTAATTAAAAATGACCCAGTTTAATATTAATTATTATATATATTTGAATCGTATACAGTATATACTGTGTTAGTACTAGGAATACAGGTATAAATTAATTAGAATTTTAATTAATTAATAAAAAAATAGTTGCATACTTTAGATATAATATAAATTTGTAATTTAGTTAAATTATAAAAATTAATTTTAGATTAGATCAGTTATAAAAAATACATTAAAATTGTAACACTTAATTAAATACAGTATTATGTTTAAATTTATTATTTATTAAACAACAAAAAAATCATTTAAAAAATTAACTAGCTTATCTACCCTAATAATAATAATGATTTTAACACTAAAAAAACTTAATTAAAATACAAAAAAATAATTAAAAAACAACATTATAATTACCGCAACATTTTATTAATAATTTATTTAATTTTGTATTTTTTGTTGCCTTTATTATCCAAATTGAAAGCTTGAAAACTGTACGCAACCGGCAATCATAACCAAAGACTTTTGTCTGATACTGTTTGGCCGCGACTCGCGAACCATACCGAGGCTGACGCCCAATACAAAAGTCCTGAAGAATATATTGAGCGGCGCCTACAGAGACGCCAACTCCAATCACATTAGTACCGTCTATGAGCTGATCTTCAAGCGAGCGGTCGATTCGGGCAGTCCGGGTGTTCAGCGACGGCAGCGGCGAGTATTGGACACTTCGGGTGCCTATGTCAGGGGCGAAGAAAATCTGAAAGGTTGGCAACCGAGAGGCGATTCCCTAATCTTTGACCATCAATGGGAACTGGAAAAAATGAAACGTATTGAAGAAGTGGAAAAAGTCAGACACAAACTGCTGGTCAAAGATTGCCTGAAGAATAAGGACAGCGGCAGCTATGAGGACATACAGTTTACGTCGGCAATGAAGACAAGCAGTTCGCGTCTGAGTTTAATACTGGCCTCACCCACCAATCCGACGGCCGCCAGTCAGTTTGGTGCSGCCGGCGATAGCAGTGTCTACGATCCATGGGATATGACCGACAGGGAACGGGAACTGTGCGCCAAATGTGTTCAACTCATCCAAACGCATATACCAATGAAACCGGCGCCACAGCTGACCGCCATCAAGAAGAATTCGTTGCCAACGCCGACCACCGATGATGTATCGCTGGCCTCGTCGCTAAGTCCCGATGTACTGTCACCCGATAAGTCCATCAATGCTGCCAATTGGCTGAAAAAGTCGGCTATCGATCACCAAACAGCAAACCAGTTGCCACCGCAACAACAACAGCAGCCAAACAGTAGTAGTAGTAGTAGTGACCAAATGCTGGGAACCGATATCAAGCCGTCGTTTGTGGCAGAAATCGAAGAAATCCGTGTGAGTCCTATCATCTCGAAGAAAGGTTATCTGAATTGTCTGGAAGATCGGACGGGTTGTTGGATAAAAAAATGGGTATCAGTTAAGCGGCCCTATCTGTTCATCTATGATCACGAAAGAGATCCCATTGAACGATGTGTTATCAATCTGTCGGCCGCACTGATCGAGTGCTCCGACGATCAAAAACAGATGCTAAAAGTGGCCAATGTTTTCTCCATTGTTACCAAATATAGCGGTTTTCTGATGCAAACCTCGACGGACAAAGAAGTACACGAATGGCTCTACGCTATCAATCCATTACTCGCCGGTCAGATCAAGTCGAAGACTTCGCGGACCAATCGCGGCGATGTTGTTGTGACCAATAATTGTTGTGATGATAGTCATCAGGGATTAGTTATCGGAGATAATGATACCAATCAGTGCTCCATTTGATCTCTTATGGGATGTCTCTGTCTAATCAATGAAATAAAAAAATAATATATTAAATGATATATTAAATGACAATAAATTTTTTAAAATAAATTTTCAATAATTAACAAACAAATAATAAATATGAGATTAAATTATTTTTATTGATTGATTGATAACAACAATAACATAAAAAATGAAAATACATTTTAATTGCTATATAAATATACATTATATATATTTTTTATCATTAAATATCATATTTATAACAATTAATAATTTTAATTCTGTTGCTAATAATCAGTGCTAAATAACTATCAAAAAACAAACAAAATTGAAAATCTCTATTATATTAATATATGATTATTAACTTATTATAATTATATTAATTTAAATAAATAAATAAAATAAATACGTTAATTGTCTAAACACAGTGTTTTAATTTTATTATTTATTGATTTAATTTAGCGATTTATTAATAGACATTTTTTTAAAATTAATAAAATATTGAAATATTATTTCAATTTTATTGAAAATCTCTATTATAATGGATTAAATTATTATTAGATTAATTCAAATAAAGATATATTAGTAGATATAAAGTTTTTTTTAGTTTTATTATTACTTTTAAATATTCAAATTTTATTCAAACAAACAAAAAATCAAATTTCCACTAAAAAAATAAAAAAAAATTACCGGTAATTATGAGTCAAAAAAAACAAATAGTAATATAAAATTAATTAATTATTATTATTAATAGTAATTTTATTGATTTTACGAAACTTTTGATAAATAGCATCCAAATCGATGTCAAAACTTGGGTCGACATTGTTTAAGTCAATTGTCCGTAAATGTGGTAATCGTTGCAATGATTTCAATGCCTGTAAATCAATACGATAACCGGTGTATTGCAGATATTGAAGTCGCGGACAGTTAGCGACAATATCATCGATAAAGTGATCGGTTGTCGACATAGGCTTCGATAGGATTGACAAATGTGTTAACTGTTTGAAACCATTCATCATCTGATGATTGTCTGATCCAATCAAATCAATAACATCCAAATTAAGTCGATTTAATTGTTTAAAATTATGGCAAATTGCGTTCAATAAATTACCACAATTTTCGTCATCAGTTTCATCGATTTCTAGAGAAATTTTCAAACTCTTCAATCGATGACATCGATGAGCAATTGATGGCAACAATTGGGCCAATTGTTGCCGATAAGCGTCCACTTGTTTGTTGTACATTTCGATTGTCAAATCCGACAATTTTGTCATTAGTGACAAACCGGCGATAATTGTCGACATAAAGTCGGCATCAATTACCGTACAATCGATTTCCACAAACAATGATATCAATTGTCTACGATATAGTCGGACAATATCGTTGAAAATGTCGACCATTTTCTTGTCGAAGACATTGATCTCAAGTTTTTCAAGTCTCTTGAATAGCGGTTCATAAGTTAACTGTCGATAGATTTTAGGTACAGTTTTTCGGCCGACATTAGTATCTGTTCGGCAATTAAACGCCAAAAGGTTTGTACACTTCTGGAGATGTCTGATGACAGCATTGTCTATACGTCGGAAGTGATGAAACCCGACTTTGATTGTCTGCAATTGTTTGGCATAAACAGTGATAAGGCCGCCGACCAGTGACACCAATTTATAGTCACCAAAACATATGTTAAGATAAATGTCACGCAATTGATGACAGTATCGGATAACAAACGACAAGATAGGGAAGTAGTCTTCAGTGAAAGCGATAAACTTTAGTTCAATTCGTCTAATGTTTGGACACTTCGACAACAGTTTGGCCAACGAATCGTCGGTTATTTGACAGAATTTTATGGTAAATAAAATCTCATCGACAGTCAGTGGTATCAATCGTTGCCATTGTTTGCAAACACATTCAAGTGTTATCTTATCATCAAATCTAAGATAAGACAACAATAGTTGTGACAAATCATCGCCAAAACGATCAAACGATTGTCTTCTCTGGGAATTACTTCTTAAACACATTTTCTTTGCCATCGATGGCCAACTGATTGTCGCCATTGATGTCATTATATCAGAGAAAATAATATTTATTTATTTTTTTTAAATGAAATCAATTCAATCAATGTATTTAAATAAATGATTTGTTTGTAACAAATTGATGACACAATTAGTGATTTAATAATAATATTATTATTATTTAGTAATGAATTGTAAATCAAAAAACAAATAATAAATATTTTGTTTGTTTTGTGTTTTTGTTGTGAAAACTAATGAAAACATTAATCAATTGATTGATTGATATACAAGTGATTCATTCAATACATTGATTGCATTTTCTAGTGTTTAACACAAATAACTATTTTATTTATATATCTATTCAAAAATTATATTATAATTTATATAATTTATACATTAAAGATATTTATTTTTAAAAAAAATTATTTCATAATATAATATTAATTTCAATTATATATATATACAATATATTCAATTATTTATTACATATTATACTAATGTTGTGTAAATCTTCATCAACAACAACAACAAACTTCATATATAAAGTATATTTAGTTTGTATTTATTGTGAAATTATTGAACAAAAATAATTTAATTACACGTTTTAATTAATTTTTAAGTGATTTAATCACTAACTTGTAATAACTAGCGATATATTGCGGTTAACTAAGTTTGGCCAACAATTAAGTGATTAAATCACATAAAAAATTTTTTTTTTTAAATGAGTGCCAACAACACAAAACTTTAGTTAAATTTAATTACATGTATTTTTTTCTGCTTAAAAAAAATACTAATAACTATATAACTTAAAAATTTCAAATTATTATTATAATAAACTTAATTTTATATATTAATTGAATTATTTTTTTTTAAAAAAATAAATCTTAGATAATATTATACCCTTTATCCAAAATCGACTTAATATTATATTTAAGTTTAAATGTCGAATTGAAAACATGATTATTATTAATAGAAATTTTACATATTTTTCGCAACTTTTCAATCGCATCCAAATCAATGTGTTTGTCGTCGTCGACATTGTTTAAGTCAATTGTACGCAAATGTGGTAATCGTTGCAATGATTTCAATGCCTGTGAATCAATACGATAACCCATGTATTGTAAGTATTGAAGTCGCGGACAGTTAGCAACAATATTATCGATTAAGTGATCGGTTGTCGACATTGGCTTCGATATGATTGACAAATATGTTAACTGTTTGAAACCATTCATGTGGTAATTGTCTGATCATATCAAATCAATGTAATGACCAGTTGTTTGATTCAAATGTAATATTTTTAATTGTTTAAAATTATTGCCAATAATATCTAATAAATCTGTATCAACATTGCCATCATAGTTGTCATAATAAATTGATAATCTCTTCAATTGGTGGCAATAGTTGAACAAATTGTGTCAAATAAGTGCATTCGTTATCGTATAATATGATCGTTAAGTCCAACAATTGTGTCATTTGTGTTAATTCTGTCATAACTTTTACGAAATTGCCATTAATTTCAAGAAAAACAATATCAACAGTCAATTTAAGCAACTGTTTGCCATATTGTCGGACAATATCCTTAAAAATCTTAATCATTTCCTCATTGAAGACATGGATCCCTAGTTTTTCCAATGACTTAAAATGTTGTCCAGTAGTCAACTGTCGATATACTTGAGGAACAGATTGTTGGCCAAAATCAATACTTGTTTGACAATTAAATGACTTTAAATTTGTACACTTTTTAAGATTTTTGATTAAAGCATTGTCTAGTTGTGAGTATTCATGATATCCCACTTTAATTCATTGCAATTGTTTGCCATAAACAATATATAGACTACCAATTAATGTAACCAATTGATTGTCACCAACTTTTTCAATGTCCAAATAAATGTCACGCAACTGATGACAGTATCGTATAATGAATGATAAGATAGAGGAATAGTCGAAGTAGTCTTCGGTTAGATCCGTGATTTGAATGTGTGTAATGTTTGGCCACTTAGACAACAGTTTGGCCAACGATTGGTCGCTTATTTGCTGTAAATTTTCGTCAAATAAAATCCTTGTAACAGTCTGTGGTATCAATCGTTGCCATTGTTTGGACACCGATTCAAGTATTATCTTATCATCAAATGTCAGATAACATAACAACAGTTGTGATAAATCATCGCCGAAACGATCAAACGATTGTCGACTAGTTTCTGATGAATCACTTCTTAAACACAGTTTATTTGCCATCGATGGCCAACTCATTGCTTCATTTGATGCCATGATATCTGAAAGAAATTATATTATTATTATATGTAAAAATCAATTCAAACAATATATTTATAAGTCTTACAATTTGATGACAATTTTTTTTGTTGATAATATTATTAATAAGCAATTTGTAAGCAATAAAATAAATATTTTTTTAAAAAAAACTTATTTTTGTTATGAAAACTCTAAAACACTAATCAATTGAATACAGCATTCATTCACTCATTGATTGATTGAATTATATATTCTAATGTTTAATACAAAGTTTTTTTTACAAATATATTGTTATTTATTTTTTTGATTAAAAAAATAATTTAAATGCTTTTATTATTAGTAATAATTTATTACACATTCATTACTAAAATATATTATACTGTGTGTTGCTATAACATAAAAATTGATTTTAATATCTAATTTATAAACACAACAATAACAACAATAACAAAAAAAATGTGATGACTAAACAATGAAAAAAATATATTTAATTAAATAAATAAATTTTAATTAAATAAAATACATATTTAAAATAGATTAATATATATATAAATATTTAATTAAATATTTTAACATTTTATCTAAATACTATGCAATAATTTCTAAAAATCAATATAAACAAAATATTTATTATATTTTGTTATTGTTATATTGTATTTTTAGTATTTTTATCAAACAATAAAAATAATTTAATATTTAAAAATATGTTATTGCAAAAAAAAAAAATAATATATATATATATATAAATCAATTCAATAGTTATATTTCAA